TAAGATTAAATAAAAACAGAAACTAAAAAAATACACAAAATTGCACTTATTTTACTGTAAGAAAAGCACTTTATTCTAAAATTATCACTATTATTGATATTTTTGTCGGACACAAAACTGAATTGACACTTGTGACGACAGAATACAACTGTACTGAGAGTGTACAAATTCTACGTTGCCATCTATTGTACTTAACAATCTATTTGGATATAATGAATTTGCTGTGATTACATCAATTATTTTTTGTAAAATCCTATTTTGTCAATAGTTTTATTTTTAAAAATCTACCTAAAAGATTTTAAAAATCCCCCAAAGATTTTAAGAAATCACCAAATTAGTATCCTGAAGAATGCATACCCATGAAACATAATGTTGATACAATAAAACTTCAAATCACGTTTTTAAAACTTATTTTCTTATATCTTATTATTGAATATGTTCTGTTCTATATGTATATATCTTATATATGTATATTTAATATTAAATATTTGCCAAAGAAATGTTCTGTTTTATATGTATATATCTGACATATGTATATTTAATATTGAATATTTGCCAATGAAATGTTCTGTTCTATATGTATATATCTTATATATGTATATTTAATATTCAATATCGAGGATATTTGTTCAGCAAAGAGTACTGGATGTGTTAAACTACAGTATAACGGATAAATGGGGTGACATTATAGAACTGGGCACCATCTTTATTCATCTTTGTTTATCTTAAAAGATAAAGAAATATTAGGGTTAAAAGACGCACAAAATGTTGAGCAAAAAAATTGATTTTTCAGCTTTGAAAAATGGATATTCTGACGAAAATGCTGATAAACTGTATTTCTTTGTTTTTACTTTTGAATTTAAACAAATTTATAAAGATCATACACATATCTGATTTTTATAATGAAGCCTGTTTAATTCCAAAAACACTGAAATCAAGAACTATCAAAACAAAAGAAGCCATTTATAGAAAAAAATTAAGACTGAGCTGGTTTTTTTATTATTTTTTGCTTACTGGACAATCAGTTAAAAAAAGATAGCCCATTATAAATTATACATTCAAAATTTAGACAAAACTTTTCTTTTTTGCCAAAAGCTACTATCTCTAATTACATAATAATATTGAAATCAATATTGTAAAAAATAAGACCCAAATGGCACTTATTGTCGAAGCAGCTGATAACTATAGCTTAGTATGTACAGAACTGCCTTATTTTGAAGTGGTAAGAGGGGGGAGGGGGTTGGCAATGGTAATAGTTAAAAGTCATTGTGTACACTACCTCCTGGTAAACCTAGGAGATAGGGGTCAATAAGTGTATATGACCTCCCCCCCCTCCACNATAGACTTCAAGATTTAATTCAGCGAAACAAAAGAATTCGCGAATTTTAGGATGAAACAAGTATTATTTAAATATGCTAACCACCAATATGCTAGAATTAAAGTATTTTTTAGATATGCTAGCCACCAATATGCTAGAATTAAAGTATTTTTTAGATATGCTAGTCACCAATACGCTAGAATTAAAATAATATTTATCAGGAAAAATTTTAAGCTGCATCATTTCATATTGATCAAGCGTAAAACCAACGACAGTTAAATGTGTTATAAATAGAACATTGAGAAATTACTTGAGTAAAGAATTTCTTTTTTAATCATTAATTGACATTTTTTCAAATAATTTGTATTTATAAAACATCTTTTGACTTTGTCACAAAATAAAATTTTAAAAGTCAAATTATAATTTTTTTATGAGAATTTTTTGTTTACATTACAAATCACAATACAGTACGTGTTCACTGTACAAGCATGGATCAAGCATGAAAAGAGGAATACAGTTGGGGGAAGGGGCACTAAGCATTTATTTGCCATACAACACATTTTTTACGTTAGCAAAAAATAAGAGTGAAGAAAAATAAACAGATGAAAATTTTTTTTATGAGAATGTGCATTGTAGAATTTTTAGTACTAACATGTACCATGNGAATACAAAAGTATGAACAATGAAACAAATTCCCCTAAGTCTACAGGAGACTAAATAGAAATTAAGTTTGAGAACAATTTGACACGAAGTAAACTTGAAAACAAGATAAAAAAGAAAAGTTGGCTCCTCAGCCTACACTTACTCATACTACAGGCTTTTCTGCTTACACTACACTGTTTAAACAAAATATGCACCTTCAAGCCAAATTCTTTAGGATTTTTCAAAATTCGCCCTTAAAAGATTTAACTAAATTTACAAACAAACATATAATCATCCTTAACACTTTTCAGTCTTTTCAGTAACCTTAAATCCTTTGTTAAAACTTTCCCCCAACAATTCATTCTTTCCCCCAAAGTTTAGTTAATAAAGAACTCTATATTGTCCAATATACTAGGCATAAAAAGGCCAACATTCGAAGGACATATTGTGTCTTTAGTTGGTGATCCGTAAATTGACCTTTTTTCACAAGCACTGCATAAAAATACCCCGTTCCCAAAAAAAAAAAAAAACTTTAACATTTAAGATAACTTAACTAAGTCAAATGATTTTCCCCATCCAATTGTTAAAGATTTACTTCAATGGAAAACCAATAAACAGTCTTGTAGCTTATTTGAAAAAAAGATGCGGAAAATTTTATTTTTTTATTAAAACATTTTTTTAAATCTGAATTTTGTTTGTAACTTTCGTTATTTTCATCTTACAATTTTAAGAAATTACTAACAACCTCTTTACTGAAAAATACCTTTGACGTCCCCCCACTTCTCCCCTATATAGCGTATCATAAAAAAGAAATGTTAAAGCGAATTATCTTATTTTCCTATTTCCTGACATAAGGTTTATTTTAATTCTTTCTTGTTTCTCACATTCCTGGCAGAATTGGAGTATTTAGTCATATGAAGAGTTCTATAAAAATAATAACTAAAATATTTAGCACTTCTGGAGTGAATCAACTAACATTATAATAACCAAAATATTTACGAATTAATAATATGCTTCGGATCTATTTCATCTTGATGTGGATCCGGATTTGTTTCGCTTATTTTTCTGTTTAATAAATAGAAAGGCTTCTCGGATCAGGATCCGTGGATCAGCATATTTGTGTGGATTAGGATCCAAGGAGCTAAAAAGTTCCAAATTATTGCTCATCTCTACGACGTTTTATGACGTATATGTAACGTTCTTTTAACGCACAATTCCTACTTAATATTAATAGTAAGATAATTATAATTAACCAAACTACTCATCTCTTTGTATTAAATTAGTTGTATATACTCCCAGACAAACTAACTTCGTGTGATACCTAACTTCTTTGGATAGTTCTGAGATACACAACATTCACAAACATTTTTAAACTTAAGTAGTATTAGATAGGACAGAACATCCCCACACCCCCCACTCTCCCATGATATTCTTTCTCTAAATTTGTGTAACAGTCATAAAAAAGTATTATTATCGTTTTTCAGTGAAAGTTTGAACAATGTTGAACAATAAATTATACACACCCCCCCCTTCCCCCAAAACAACATAAAGTAATTTAAATTTTTTTATCCGATGTTATCATTAAACTGACTACTTTTACATTTAATTAAATTAAATTCCGCATCAGAATAGTTCGGGGCGACAAAAATTCCCATTAAAACAAGACTTGGGAACACAGCAAGTGAAATTTCAAGAAGTAGAAAGACGTTAACTTCTTTTTTCAAAAAGGTTTAAAGATGCGTTTTTTTAAGAATTATCCAGGTAATTTTTTTACACTTTCCACTATTCCACTTTTAGTTTGTACTTCTTCTGCTGAAAACATTGAAAAAAACTTATAATATGTTTTCATTTCTTTTTTTGTTCCAAGTTATTTTTTATAAAAACAAGCAAAGCACCCAGTGCTTTTTTATTTGTTGAAGTCCTTGTATAACAGTTTTAGAAAAATAAGAAATGACTACACACTTTGACCTTAGAAGTGCAAAAACCCTATATTCACTAAAATTCCAATTTTATTTCAATTAAACCGGTCTGAAGAGAGTTGTAGCACAATTAAAGTCTAAAACGAAAAGCACCAATGCGCTTTGCCAGCACCTTAACGAACTTTTAACTATCGTTATTCAAATATAATTGTTTACAAAATAACATAAAATTTAAGAATACAGAGCTGAAAACATTAAAATGTGGACATCGAGATAAATGCTTGATCTTCTCTTTTTGTTAATTTCGAGATTAATTTAATCTTAAGTTTGTATCGACATAAGTGTGTTTAACTCAACCAATCGAGTGGGGTTCGGAGATACATGAACAGCCAATCAGAGAAGCCGGAAAATTTGAAATTTTGCCCGCAATTAAATGAGTGAACTCTCATTGGTCGGAAACTGGCAGGGCGAAAAAAAAAGAAAAAGAGCAGATTAGGAAGGAAATTTAAAGTGTCCACATTGGAGATCGGGATTAAAGGTATCCAATGCTTAAGTTTTCAGCTCAGATTACCCCTATAAAATTTGACAAAAACAGTGGATTGAAAAGACCAGCAGACGGGAGTGTTAGGTAAAAACCCAGTATTCTAGACCGAGAATCAGTATAAAAAAGTATATATCAGATGAGCAAGAGAAAAAACATCCAATATTTCGCGATGGGAAACTGCTATAGAGTTCCATTAAAGAAAACTAATAAAAAAGAATCAGATAAGTTTCATCTACTTTGCGAATCTGCTATAGAGTTACATCAAAGAAAACTAAAAAAAAAGAATCGAAATAAGTTTCATCTACTTAAAATTAGTACGAACCCTTATTTCTCAAATTCTACAATACTGCGCTTTGATCCCAACAGCCCCTACTTGCTGATCAATTGTTTAACGGTCAACCAGGACCTAATCTAATGAATTTGAACTACGTAGCTTAACTACATACTTAAACCAATGATTATAAGTTAAGGATAATGGAAGGAATTGAATCAGTGGTTCAAATTTGAACTGGCAGTGGGCATGGTTCAAATTTATTTAATTAGGTTCCAGGAATACTAGATTAAAACATGTTCCTACCTGATCCTCCTGGAACATCTGGTCTGTGTTGGGTACTCCAGGGAATCCAATAATCCCCTCAGCTCCAACTCCATGCCCTTCACCCTGCTCAAACTGTCCTGCACCAGGAACCTCTAGGGAGGCGGGGTAAGAAGAGCCCTCGGAACCTAGTAATAAAAAAAATTTTAATTTTAAGATTCAGTATTTGAGCAGTTATCTCCCTAATAATCATAAGATCAAAAGCAGTAGGAGTCGTCCTTTTCCAGTGCGCTAATGCTTGTTAAAGAAATATCAGATTTATTTAATGAAATTGTATTTCCCCCCAGATTTACTTGTTTCCGGATTTGCAATGTTTTATTTACAAAAAAAGGATTCTCTGTACCATAGAGGACATAATATCCCTTTTATAAAAGAAGAATACCCGATCTTTATCACTTGTCTAAAGAAATGATCATATCCTTCTTAACTTATCTGAAAAGTGAAAATTATCATCCAAATTCAAATCTTGTTTGACGAAATAAAAATTACAAGAAAATATTTTACCCCTGCTTGACTAGTTTAAAATCACAACTCAAAATAACTAGACTAGCTCCTATTATTATATAACTCAGTTTTCTATGAACACTCGGCCACAGTTTCCCCTTTCCAATATAATAATTCTGGACTCCCAGCACAATCTTCTCTGATCCTTCTAAGTATCTTTACATCTCTTTATGGTCAATGGTCAGAAATAAGTTGAGTTTTTAAACCTGAAACCACTGTCTAGAACTAGGTTAATTTTATGCAAATATTAATCATTTTTAACTTTTTTCTTCAGTTAAACTTATCAAGGGATCAAAATCAGAAAAAAATATGAAAAATGTTATACATAACTTNTTAATACCCCTCTAAAAAGTTCTCCTTACAAACTACCAAAGCTTTAAGAGATTCTATCAAAGTTGGATGAGATTTTATTGGAGTTTTAAGCAATTCTATTCAAAGTTTTTCAAATATTTAACATTATATTCGAGGGTTTGATAGTTCTTCAAAGAATCTACAGGAAATTTTTTTTTAATAGATCAGTAGTTTTTCAAATGTATAAAGAAATAATGTCAAGTATCTTGGATTTTTTATCTGAGGAGAAAAGAATAAGTTCAGGGGAAGTACATATTTCTTTAGAGATTTAAATTTATAGACACTTGAGAGCTGGTGCCAATTTAGGTATATAAATGGAACATTAAACTTTTAAAATAGTTTTTTTTTAACATTTTCTTTTTTTCAAAAATTTAACTAACTCAAAAATAAAAATTTTAACATTGGAAAAAAAAAATTGGGGGGGGGGGGTGAAGGAGCCTCTGGTGATACTAGAGGCTCCTTATATATACCCTTCATAAATTGACTGGATTTTTAGTTTTGTATTGGTAGATAAAAAAGTTTTCTATGGCCAAAATTTCATTTTTGATGTCTATGCCTGGTTAATATGGAAAATTAGTTTAACTTTGTAAAACCAAAAATAAAAGTTAAACTCAAGTTAAGCCTATCCTGTATATTCAAATATTCAAGAGGAGGGGATATAGTTTGGGTTTAAATAGAAGAGATTTTGGATAAGTTCTTTTTCCAAGGATTTAAGTTTGAATTGTATTTTGTAGCTCAGAAACTGATTCAATTATTTATTCCTTAGATAGCTTCTAAAGAGATTGTAAGCGTAATTTCAATTGGCCCACCATGTAAAGAAGGCAATATCCGATTTACAGCAGTACCCTTAATCTGATAAAAATGTTGATATCGTTGATTTTCACTTTGGAAGATAAACCGCAATTGAAAACTAACAATGTTTTCATAGTTGATCAGACAAGACTTTCAAGGGTACCATAATAAATCGGACGTTGCCATCTTAGCATGGAGGTTCACTAGAAATTTTGCTTACAGTCCCTTTAAGGTGCATTCACAGACTGGGAAAGAAAACTTTTAACAAGTTAAATTTTTTCTTCTTGCTCTCTTCAAATAATTGGACAATGACATAAATTAGCTTTCACCCCTTTCTTTAACTTTTTGAACTAATTAAAGCCAGATTTACTAAACAATTTTAAAACATTTGAATATAAAAGTTTTTAATTTTAGCTTTGAAGGCGATATATAAGGCTTTTTATTCTATTTCTCTTTCATCATAATTTCCAGATTTCTCATTAATTTTCATTAAGTTTCATAATTACTTTGAAAAGTTAAGTTATGCAGCTATTTTGAACAGTTACATGAGTATACTTAGCAAAAAAACTAATATTAAGATTTTAAATAATAATTTTTCAGAACTTCCAGAGGCAAGACGGTTGTCTTGTCTCCTTTTTGCCATCTTAATCTGATCCATTGCTTCTTTTAAGCAAAGAATGTGCAAGTCACTTAAAAAACCGCAAATAAAAATAAAACTAAAATATAGATATCTAATTGATATGTTAAGGGAGTTATTGTATATCGAGCATTGCCATATGAAGGGTCACTAGAAATTACAATTATAGTTCCTTTAAGCCCTCAACTTAAAGTGTCCACAGTGGATATTGAGTTTAGTAAATGAAGTCATATCCCAATCAAACGTTTTGCCCTGAATTGCATCAAATCAATGAGAAGAAGGAAAATTTTGATATAATATTACTTTGAGTCAGATGTTCTGATATCAATCAGAATTCTGTGGATTAAACTTCAAAGAACCTTCATTTAGGTTTATTGAAGAAAACCAAGAAATTGGTTACACCAGGAACCCTCTCAGAGATTTATCATGGTATTAACTAAAAGAAGTCTAATATCAGGAAGCATCTTAGAGACATATCATGACATTTAATAAGAACAGTGTCTATCATTAATCATGCCATTATTACAACTATTGATAGAATTTATGTGGATCCAGATCCAAAAAGTAATATATCAACCAAAAACTGAAAAAAAAACTTTTTTACTCCTAAGACCCAAATCTGAACTTTTGAAAAAAAAGAGAGATTATAAAAATGTCCTCATTTCTGAATGGTTGATAAATTTTTAGGATAAAAATAAGCGAAAAAAATAAAACAAAAAATTTGAAAATTATTTTTTGTTAAAAAATTCAGTAAATCTTAAATAAATGACCTCGATCCGAATCAAAATTAATTGGATCCTAAGCACTGTTTAAAACGAACCAATATGATGTGGGCATTGAAGGTTAAACCTCATGGAAGAATTCTTCAAAGAATGCCTCACAAAAACTTTTGTCTGATTAGGACTCTTCAACTGCTAAGAAAACAAATTGAGAAAACTTGACTGATTTTAGCAAACTTAGTTCACTACACTTAATTTTGGAAGAAAACTATGGGGAGATTGGGTGAATGTGAATTTTTTTATTCTTTTAAAACTTTTTATAATAACTTAAAAACTAAAAAGAATTAATTACCAAAAAGGAGAAACTTGAACCAAATTATTTCTAAGTTCTAACTTTAATTAGTTGAGAATGGGGTAAATATTTCTAAAATTCCAAGTAAGTTAGAAACTTAATGAAAATTAATGAGATTTATGATAAAAGAGAAATTTGATAAATTTAACCAACTTTCCTTTTTAAGTAAAAAGCTCCTTCAAGGAAAGATAAAAGAACATATTGCATAATACAGGAGTTTAACAAGATTTTAAGCTCCTTGCCTAATATAGGATTTTACTTATAGTTTAGCTAATTGCAAAAAAAGGGATTTTTTAAAAAATGGTTAGATAAGTCCTCTAATTTGTGTAAGCCTTTGTCACTCCTGGGTATCATGGGTTCCTTCTTTAAGCAATGTTTACATGTTGCTTTTTGAAAGTCCATTTTTTCTACATCTTTGGTTAATTTAAAATTTGGTGGGTTTTTCTGTAAAAATTAAAAAAATACATTCTTTAACAATAATAGTAGATTAAGTTTTATTGTTCAGATCAGACATATTTAAACACAATTTTTTTGTTTTCCTTATTTCAAATCTTTTTTTTTCAAATCAGACTTGAACTTTTTACAAAGTTAAGAATTAATTAAAAATATTACTATGAAAACAGAAGTGATTTTAATAAATATTCAATAGTTGAAGCATGGCCTATTCAACAGAATCAAAGGTAGTAAATTTATTCCAATTAACAAATCCAAAGCAAATTTACAAACAACACTAAAATTTCTCATAATCTAATTTCATGAAATAGAAAAACAAGCACTGAGAATCAGACAACTTTCAAATGGAAATTGTAAAAATAATCTTAACAAAAAATCATTTCATTTTTGATACTTGAAACCCACAATTAGTAAATTCTAAGATAACATTCTTTGAATAGTAACCTAAAAAGTTGATAAGAAATAAATAATACAAATATACTTTGTTAAATGTCACTTTTATTATATAATTATTAATTTAACTTATATTAAGTTAACTTAGGAGCAACAATTTTTAATTAAGTAAATCTCTGCGTGTATGGATTACAGCCAAGAGGTTAGTTTAATAAAATATTAAAGAACAGAGATCTACAACTTTTATCATTTTGTTACAATTCCCCTATGGCCTACAGTCTAAATCCACAGTTTGCAACAAATATTTCTAAAAAGCAATGATCTAGATCTGATCATCTTCTGGTATAGTTACTGTTTTTCAATCCTGATTTTTGAAAAATCTACACATAATTGAATGCAGGTTCTTCTTATTCAAAAATCCAAGTCAAATTTTTTTTTGTAAAACTAGCCAGAGAACCCAGCATTCACAGGTTTATATTTATATGCATGCATAGTATGGGCAAAGTTATGATTTTAGCTGAATTGCCTGGTATTGCTACAAAAATATCAAAATACTTTAAAGCCTATGTGACCCCAACGTCCACCAGGGCTCATATAGGGACCTCAAAAAATGTAGGCTAATTTGGTAGTCGTTTGGCTCACTATAGCAAACAAATTAATAAATACAAATAAGCAAAGAGCTTTATTAATAAATTAAAATGTTTTTTTAAGCAAACCCTTAAATTTATTGACAACAAAAATAAAAAATATCTTTTTGTTTTTGGAATATAAAAAAAATTGTGATGAACAAAAATGTATTTTTAACTTTGCAGACTATGTGGGTGCCTGAAACTGGTAAGCTTTAGTCTAAGGATTCTTTAATAAAACTTAGGAGTGAGAAAACCAAGATTTTCAAGACAAACTTGTAAAAGAACAAATCCTGACCATAAAACTTTTCTTGATTAAACATCTCTCTTTCTCAGTTTATTTACTTTTAAATGTTAAAATAAAAACAGGGGGGGGGGGGAAATCATAAGAAAGCAAATAGAATGTTTATTAAGAAATATAATGCAAAAGAATTATTTTTTTCCACAATAAATATGAAATAAAATGTTTTTCAGGGTACAAAAAATTGTATGCAACCTTTACTGTAATTTAAAAATAAAATGCCAAATTCACACTGGAACCCTTTAAACCTTGATATGGCAAAAATAATAAGATAAATCATTTCTTTCAATTTTCAGTTTTCTAAAAAAGTAACTAACATATTTAGGCAGTATAGAAAAAGTAGGATATTGACAGAATGGTTCTAAAATTAGACAAAAACAATATCTTTTATCATTTAGAATTAGATTAGGGAAGTATACCATTGCGATTTTTGTGAGTAACTTTAAAAATAGTGGGTACCTTACAATTTGAGTTACAGTCCTAAGTATTTGGATTTTTTTTACATTTTGAGCAGTTCATTTCTCCGCCACTCAATGAAGTGAATTTTTAACCTTTTTGATATCTTAACCTCAAAAATTCATTTCTTTTCCCCTGAAAGCCATTTACTTTCTCTGATTATTCAAACCCTTAAAAAAACTCTTCTTTGTACAATCAAACCAAACATCTGGGGGAAAATAATTTTTTAAGAAAATATACACCCCCTGTAAAGTGAAGCTCTGAATATATATACTTGAGAAAGAGAGAGCTATCCAATTTTCCTGTCCAATGGATGGATGTATATACATATTTGGTTTCCCATGCCTTTAGAATATTTAAACTTAGCAAGATCCAGGTCAAAATTTAATTCGAACTTTGGCAGTTTTTCCAATAACATAAATATAAATCTAGTAGGTTTCCTTTTATCTAGTTGTTTTCCAATAACATAAATATAAATCTAGTAGGTTTCCTTTTATCTAGTTTTTGGCTTTTTAGAGGCATCACACAAATCCAAAAGTAAAACATATTTAAATATAGTTTGCACTAAAAATTTGGTTTCATTACACATAACAAGAGGTTCACTCTGATCGGCCTAAGTCAGTGGAGCTTTAAAAGTACGTTAGCGTCATAAACTAAACAAGACTCAGACTGCTTAACGAACCTAATTTGCCTTGCTAGATTTTGGTTCTGGCAAGACATGAAATATGTGGTAACAGGTATAAATGCCATCAAACGCCTCTTGTTTCAAATTTTCTCCTTTTGAGATCTAACATTTACGATGTTTTAACAATGTTTAAACTTTCGATTCTCAATTTTCATCTTCTATTGTCTTTTAGTCCACAATAATTAAAAAAGAACTAGGCTTTTAGTTTTGGCGAAGCGCCCATCTTCTATATTAACTCTAGCTCTATCTGTGAGCATTTTATCTTTGTACAATATATAACAATAGCATAAAAAAAAGTTTGTGGATTTAGAAATATTTTTTCGCGCAAAATTTTTCAAAAACCAAAACTATTGGACGCAAATTGTTGTAATTTTGAGCATCCATAAACCTTCCCCGTTGAACAGGTGAAGTCCCACACAACATTTGGGCCCAATCGGTTCAACCGTTTTGACGTTTCTTGGATACAAACAAACAAACAATCAGACAAGCAAAGTATTTAGATAGATAAAGTTTTGTATTCTATTTTTCAAGGTTTAGAGTATGATATACCATGATGCTAAAACTTTCCCTGATCCCTGATGTGTTCTCTCTTATCTCTATGTTGGCATCTGCAAAACCAACCAACACTTTTCGTATAATAATCTAATGTTTTTTATCTTGTGACCTAGATGTTACACTACTGTAATTATGAACATCCCAAAATAATTGTGAAGATCAAAATCAATCTTGGGATAGAAAATAAACTTTCATTCTTCGTAGATGATACACTAGGACTGGAAACCCTATTTGACCCATTCATTACAAAAAAACAGACAAACATTCCTACCCAAAATAACACCTGTATGTAGACTTTTTTGGGGTTTATTGGGTTCTTTTTAGAATTTTTCTAATTATTGCCCGTTTTTTAACTCTTAAAATGATAAACTGTTTAATAAATAAGGTCTACTAACACCTGTTTACAGCAATAAAACGGACACATTTATTCTTTCTTGTGAGTTTTCAAAATATGTTGAGATAGAATAAGGATATAAAATCCCTTTATCATTCTTGTGTGAGAGTGATCTGTAGTTTTTCGGTATTTAACAGTGATCTTCCTTCTGAAGCATATAGATATCTACCGATTAATCTGAGTAGCCCCACCCCCAATCAGAAATATGTATCCAAGTGAGAAAATAGAAGAAGTCTAAAATTCATAGAACTATAATTTAAAAAATTGCAGTTTGCAGGAGGGAGGTGATATTATTGTATTTGAAGAGTATTTATTATAATTATAGCCTATTATCACAACATTATTATTATTTTTTATAACTATAAAGTTCACCTTTTGCTTTTAAATAGTCTTATTCATTATGAATTACTATGAATTTTAGTAGGTTTTACTTTTAAATTGAAAAACGCAAAAAAACCCAATCAAATCCAATAAAACCCACTGGGCTGGTTTTTTTAAACCGTGTTTTTTCCAGCCCTGCATGGAGGGTTTATCAGCTTACATGAGACACTCACAAAATTAAAAATAATATTTCACAATTTTAGAAGTCTTGTAACTCTGGAGAGGAGAGATAATAATTTTTAGATATTACAATTTCTCACAATTTTGAAAAGCCTCTTAAGACTCCAAAATGTTTGATTAAAAACGGATCTAACAGGCTCTTTTGAATATTTTTTTTTTAAATGACAAACCTAGATCTTGTTTTGCGACAGCATCTGGATCACAGGAGGGAGAACTGTGCTTAGATCCCATCCTGAAAATTTGAAAAAATTTGAAAATATTTCTCGCCTTTAACTTTTTAATTCTTATATTTTTGCAGCATGATATTTCTGTTAGATCCAGTACTCTATTTGAAATATCAAGGGTTAATACTTGCTGGTTGCAAAGAAATAGTAGTTAGGGCGAGAAATTAGTTCCATATTAAATAATTAATAAATTGATTAAATAATTATTTAATTAAAAAGCTGTGAGAGATCTTACTTTTATCTGATCTTTAAGATATTTGAGTTTCTAATGACTGATTTTAGTCGGAAGGGTACGGTAGAAAATAAGGTTATTTTGAAAGATTCCTTACTTTTTATGTTTTAATTACTTTAAGAGAGGGGTTGGAAAACAATTAATAAAAATATGATATTATAAAAGTTTGATAAAAAATTACCTATAAGTGTTCTCTCCGTCATTACCGTTGTCCTCACTCTATAAAAAAGTAACTTTAATGTTTTTTCAATCCATATAAAATATCTTGATGTGTCCAATGGGTTTCAATTCCGATATTTTATCTATTTCCCCAAAACAGACTGAATATTTCATACAGAAAAGAGAATTTGAGGATTTCGGTTTTGGTTTACTTATTACTTTTTTATTTTATGTCTACTAAACCCCAACTTTACTTTAATAAATAAACTTCAATGCTTGAATAATCATTTTATAGACATACATAATACACTTAAAACATTCAAATTCAAAAAACGACAATTAGCTCGACATAAAAAAAATATTAAAAAAATGAATGAAATTAAATCTATCATTATGAAAGTAAAAATGACAATAAAAATAAAAGTACAAGTGAATTATAGACTTCAAAGTGTCAAAATTACTACATTTTAATGAGAGATCATTAAAACTCTTTTATTTTAATCATTAAATGGTAAGTTTTAGATAAAAATGAACGGGAATAAGACTATTTATTTCTTTATTTGGTGAAAAAAAGCTTTCAGAAATATTCATGACACAAATCTGCATCAAAATGAAGCATTTGAAATGATATAAAAGCTTATAATTAATTGTTTTCAATTGAGTAAGATTAACTTAGATTTTTTAAGACCTCGAACAAATCCTATCTGATGAAAACCCCAATACTTAAACCGCTCTGTTACCTTATAATAAATACCAAATAGTTTTTACATTATCCATGATGAAATGTTCGATACATAATACCCTTCTAGTTTTAATGCCCCTCTTTTTAATTACAATATATTACAAACACCCTCTCCTTAGGTTTAATACCCCTCTAAAAAGTTCTAATACTTCTCTTCTTAGTTACAATATATTACGAACACCCTCTCCTTAGGTTTAATACCCCTCTAATAAGTTCTAATACTTCTCTTCTTAGTTACAATACATTAAAAACACCCTCTCTTTGGGTGGTTTAATACCCCTCTAATAAGTTATAATACTTCTCTTCTAAGTTATAATACCACTCACCTAAGTTCTAATACCCCACCCCATATTACAAACACCCTCGCCTTAGTTCTAATACCCCACCCCATATTACAAACACCCTCTCCTTAGTTATAATACCCCTCGCTCTAGTTCTAATACCCCACCTCATATTACAAACACCCTCTCCTTAGCTCTAATACCACTCTCTTTTGTTCTATTGCTCCTCTTTTTATTTATAATACCCCACACTATATTACTAACTCCCTCTCCTTAGTTCTAATACCCCTCTCTCCATGTGTGGCATTTAGAGCCGAAGTAATAGCTTGTTTAATAGCTACGCTTATGTCCCTGTGTGGCAAGTAGAGCCGAAGTAATAACTTGTTTGACAGCTACGCTTGTGTCCCTGTGTGGCATTTAGAGCCTGAGTAATAGCTTGTTTGATAGCTACGCTTTTGTCCCTCTGTGGCATTTAGAGCCTGAGCAATAGCTTGTTTGATAGCTACGCTTGTGTCCTTGTGTGGCATTTAGAGCCTGAGTAATAGCTTGTTTGATTGTTACGCTTGTGTCCCTGTGTGGCATTTAGAGCCTGAGTAATAGCTTGTATTATTGCTACGCTTGTGTCCCAGTGTGACATTTAGAGCCTGAGTATTAGCTAGTTTGATAGCTAGAGTACGGCATTTACTACACATACCCCACACCATATTACTAACACCCTCTCCTTAGTTCTATTACCCCTCTCCTTAGTATTAATACCCCTCTCCTTAGCTCTGTTAACCCTCTCCTTAGTTTTAATACCCCTCTCCTTAGTTCTATTACCCATCTCCTTAGTTTTAATATATATATGGTTACCTTAAGCTCGGCGTAGTGAGGACTTGATTCTCTTTTCTTGTTCGACATTTCGTCCTGAAGGTTGAGCCGACCCAGTTTAGACTCGATTCCTCTAGGGTCCAATTCTCCTCGATCCATTCCACCCCGCCCATCCATCCCGTCCCGAGGATCCAATCCGCCCATGTTGTTGTTGTACGGATGATTCTCCATCTTAAAGTAAACAAACAAATCAAGACGTATACAATAAACAATTGTCAAAAAAAATTTAAAGAGTGTTCGCAAAAACTGAAAGGGGGTATAGGCTTACGGCGAAAAATAAGCGCTTTTGATCGCCACTAATCTTACTTCTATCTGTTGCGTTTATAAGGAGAAAATTGTTTAAAACGACTCATGCTGAAGAATGTAGCGTCCATACAAATTCAAAAAGTTACAACATTCAACTCGGATCGTAAAAATATCAATTTAATTCCAAACAAATCATTCAGATATTACAAACAATAGTCATCGATTATTTTTCGACGCATTCGTAAAAAGTTAATATTTCACAATAATTTTGATTTTGTTTTTTAAAATAATATTTCGCCGGCGCTGGATTTTCGAACATTCCTGGAAAATATAAAAATGTCGGCTTCATTATCAAAAATCCTCGAAACAGGAATAAATGTTTTTTAAAAGTGACTATCATATCATAAAAAATATTATGAAATATCAATTATATACGAATGTGTCGAAAAATTATCAATTATTATTGTTTGTAATATCTGAATGATTTGTTTGGAATTAAATTGATTTTTCTTACGATCCGAGTTAAATGTTGCAGCTTTCTGAATTTGTTGGACGCTACGTTCTTCCACATGAGTCGTTTTTAACAATTTTCTACTTATAGACGCAACAGATAGAAGCAAGATTACCAGCGATAAAAAGCGCGTATTTTTCGCCATAATCCTATACACCCTTTCATTTTTCGCGAACACTCCCTTTAAGTATTGTTAAAAAAGGACGTTAACCAGGCTGCGGGCAAGTTTTCCCCTTTTTAGATACTATCCAAATATACTGGGGAAGGAGATATACAAAATATATACCCCTATCATTACGTAACTAAAGAGTGCAAGACTAATTTTATTTAGACTAAAGTTAGGGGGAAAATTGAAGTGGGCGCGAAATATTGAAAGTAGCAACATAAAAATTAAATAAGAAAACATTGACACTTTGTTTAATCTTTATTTTTTACACTAAAAAAATAAGTTTAGCAAACAAAAATTCCGAAAATGTCTTAGGATAGGCGAGGGCTGGGGGGGATTATTAGAAAAAAATTTAGAAAATATCAGAAAGAGGGAGAGGGGGGATGTTTAGAAACTATATCACAGATATTGATATTTTTTCAAAAATAAACACAAATAAACTTACCTTATGATTTCCAAGCACGTAATCTGCAATAGCGTTCTGCATAGCGCTGGACCGAGGGGAGAGGGTGTGTCTCTCTAAACATTGATCTGTTACTAAAACAAACATTCATCTATTTTTTAGCAGTACTTGAAATAAACGTTGCCATGAGGGGGGGGGGGACATGAGCAATTATTTTTAGCTTCTCTAAACATTGATCTTTACTCTGTTACTAAAACAAACATTTGTCTATTTTTTTGCAGTATTTGAAAAAAAATTTATAAAAGATGGTCCGCTGTAAATATCAGTAGAGCCGTGAGCAATTATTTTTAGCTTGAGGAGTTCTTTAACAATAAATCTAGTTCCACCCCTGCCATTCATCATCACAGCAAAATTGTTTTACTTAGCATGAAAATAATTAAATATTAAAAGTTTCTTTAATTTTTTAATATAGAAAACTTGTACATAATCCTTTTCAATGAAATTTGCTGATCAAAATTGGCGGACATTTGTTAAATTTTGGTAGATTTTACAATAACAGATTTATTAGATTTGACAAAGAAATACCTTGCTGTGACTCCATCCCTCCTGCAGAGAACGCTGCTCCACCTCGACGCGGAATCATTGGAACAGAGGACAAGTTAGCTCCACTCCAACCCTGAGTTACGAGATAAAATATATTTTCTATTCTGAAATTTTTGGGATTTTTGAAGTTTCAAGATAGACTGTTTTTATTGATTTTTTTTGTTGATTTTCAGATTTTAAAAAATAAAATCCCCTGGTTATTTTTAATCAGGGAAAATTTGCATTAAGATTTTTATTAAGATCGACGAACCGTTCAATGTTTTTTAATTATTTCAATCTCTAATAAATATTTATGGCCCCAAAAACCAATTTTTATGATTTAATAACAAAAACTCATTTGAAACTTATTCAGCCTCGTACCCTTTTTTTTCGTTAGAATTCTAAAAAATATTGTAAAACAAAAGGCTGAGATGAACTGAGATTTTTTTAGGACATAACAGAAATTTTGGAAAATTCAATCATTTAAAAAAATCTAACCATCAGGCATGTTGGCTTCGAGATAATCCAACAAATGATCTGGAATCGCTAATGTTTTTTAAATTTTAGGAGGATTGGAATATATTAAGGTAAGAAAGGTAAGAAAGGTAAGGTAAGAAAGATAAGAAAGGTAAGAAAGGTTAGAAACGTGAGAAAGGTGAGAAAAGTAAGAAAGGTAGGAAAGGCGAGAAAGGTAAGAAAGGTTAGAAAGGTGAGAAAGGTGAGAAAAGTAAGAAAGGTAAGAAAGGTAAGAAAGGTAAGAAAGGTAAGAAAGGTAAGAAAGGTAAGAAAGGTAAGAAAGGTGAGAAAAGTAAGAAGGGTAAAAAAGGTAGCAGAATGAATGTTAGGGGGGGGGGCAGGGAACGTACCTGGGGATTAGCAGATTCTCTCCACATATTCAAGTTCTCATCAGTAGAAAGAATGTTATTCTCAGAACTTTCTTCAATATCAGACCAAAGCTTGCCACCAGATATCTTAATTATTTATTATTTAACTGATAAATTATTTTTCATTTCCCTAATACAGAGTAACGTTTCATAACGTCAATATCCATTTTTGTATTTATTTTGAGTTAAACGTTTTATAGTTTCAGATTAAAATTATGTTCAATATGTGTCCGTCCACGCACCACTCTATTGTGAAAAAATCAATTTAAAATAAGATTGCGTCCGCCATAATGGAAAAACAATGTGCTATTAATCTAAGAGTTTTAATTTTCCGTTTAATTTAATCAACTAAAATAAAAATTGGTATTAGTAATTATAGGCTATTAACCATTATGGAGTATGGACCCAAACCATCAGTTTAATACCAGTATTCACAACAAAGAGTTCACATTTCTTCATTGGTACATTGGGATTGCTGCGGCTAGGACATGCTTGGGAGCCGAGTCCACGGCAAGGACAGGCCGTGACGACCTGCGCCCACATAAAGGGCCTTCATTATCTCCAATATGTTTAACTTAAAAATATAAACAAGATTCATGAACTTAATTGACAAGAAGTGTTCCAAAAGCCCATCCTAGTTTACATTTTTCTTACATTTGTTTTTTATTATTTTTGGGCTAGGTTAAGACAATTTCTGGGCCGAGCGCTGCGGGTAGAGGATAGGCTAGGGGGCCGAGCGCTGCAGATAGGACAGGCTATGGGGCCGAGCGCTGCAGCCACATGATCAATTATACAAAATGTACAAAATTGATAGGAGGGGGTGAGGAGGGGGGCGGGGGTCCAAAAATCGTTCTATCGTATTATGTGAGTATTTTGGGGTTAAAGATGAGAGATAATCTGTTATGGTAAGGGACGCTCTGTATTTTAGATCAAGTATAATTGCAAATAAAAAAGAAAAATTAGCATTTATTTCCTCTCAGATTTTGGCGCAAAAACACAATATGACTCATAATAGAGAAACTTAAGACTTAACAATTAGAACTAAAATTCTCACCATTGCCATATCCGAAGCTTAGAAGATTTTATACACTGTACAGTTTTCTTACATCAATGTTTACACAAAATGTACAAATAAACACTATGTACAAAATGAGCCGGCTGTGTTGCAGCGAGACAAAGCAGAGATAGATAGATAGGCAATAATATAGCAGTATACTGGGAACATACTTGTGGACATTGATAGAACAAGGAAACAGAGTGAAAAGGATTTCTTTCGCCGGGAGCTAGCGACCTGAAATTCTGTTGATTCTATAAAAATGATATAAAAAGGCATGTTATAGATTAGCATACTAGATGAGATTTATCATTGTATTTTTTGTTGTAAAAGAAATCTGTGAAAGATTTGTTTTCCTTAATGGCGTTGACTCTGTTCCTAGAACCCGGCAAATTTTTAAATGTCGTCGTTTTTAAATGTTTATTATTCATTTAATTAAATATCAATTCAGAAAAAAACTTATGGAAATTAAGGGCGGAGCCTTTTTTAACCGAATTAAGACAGGTCTTTACAAATCCAAATTGATCCGAAAGAGAACGGAAACACATGGGCGCGTCAACGGGATTTTAGTCATGGGGGGGGGGGCGCTGCAGGTCGCCCCCCCCCCCTCTGGCTTTTTATTGCTTTTATATTATTAATAAATGCATGTACCAAATATAACTAATTTTCTCGTAAATTTGAAGAAAAAATAGGCCCCCACATTATAATGTATTAGCTGTAAAGTCCTGAGATATATACAGAGCGTCCCATATCATATAAGATTATCTCCAAGTTTTAACGCCAAAATAAACCCATAATACTCGAAAAACCTAGCATTTTCCACAATAAAATTCTTAAATTAGCCTTATTCAATTTTTCAAAACAATTAATTCTTCTTAAATTTTCTAATTAATCCCATAAACCGTAATTTAGACCGATTGTTAAAAAAAAAAAAATACCAAGATTTTCTTTGATGTTTTGCTCATCATTTCTAATAGAATTTCTAACTATTTTCTCGTTTTCAACTTAAAGATTAAGTCAATTATTCTTAATTTATCCTCTCTAAAAACCTATATATATGTTACTTCTAATAAGTATTACAATACATAAGTCATTTAAGGTTACACAAAACCTGATAGCCTAAGAAATAAAATAAGGATTATACCGGACGTAGGACTTTGCAGACTATAAGAGGAAAACAGGGATAAGAACTTTTCTGTCAAACAAGGACGGACTTCGATCAGGAAGACTATTATGGATTATGGACTTGATATAGTCAAGTACCGCCAGGAAATACTTACTAAGCTTAGGACTGCACTCGCTGCACAGACCTACGATTAAGGGTCTATATTTTGGACAAATATGATTAGTGAGTAAATTGAAAAAACTGCTGTAGACTGCATATTAGGGACCTTTATATAAATAGTGAATATGACTAAGCCAGGGACTCAGAGAGACTAAGAAATACATGAAAGGACACAAGAAGAAAATGAATTTGTTGGCCCTTCGCGCACATACAGTTAGTTATTACTCCATGCATGTCGTTCTTTTTAAAGCTCTTGGAAGTATATACTTTTTTTAAACACAAGATCAAGTCATGGCTATTATAGAAATTTGGTATATCATTGAGCACAGAGCCAATCCTTAAACAATTTAAAAATGCTGGGGTTTTTTTTTACATCAAATCCTGAAAACATTGAATTTACAACAGGAAAGTTAATATTGGAAAGACACAAAAAAATTCGAAGTATTTTCTTCTAATTAAAATTTATTCAAGAATATTATGTTTGCATTTTTTGCAACTTTTTGCACTTTTTTTCCTGGATTTATCTCTGTTTACTTCAACTTTATATACCGCAAAATGTATAATTAACTGCATAAATTGACTTTTTATGGACTTTTCTTTGAACCAAACTTATCATACAATTAGAGATAAAGAAAATGATCAATAATTATAATGTGTTATTTTCAAGTTTTAACAGATTTGGTTTTATTTTTATTTTTCTTGGTGAAGAATTTTTCAGTTATCATTTTTGAAAAGCAATTTTTTTTGCAAGAAATCAATTTTCCAGGAATTTAAAAAAATTCTCAAAATTGATTCTTGGCTTAAGGCTATATTGAATCCATTGATGATTGCAATTTTCAAGTGTAGTGTAAAAAATCGACTCTCATTTAACCTAAAAAAGGGTGTGTCAAACACCCCCCCCCCCCTCTCCATTAGCAGCACTCTCATTTTTGACATTATCATTTAAATCTTATTAATTTTGGCAGAAATAGTGATTTCGCGGATTTTGAATGCGTTTACTCGAAACTCGAAATGCCGCGGTGTTAAAAAATTTAAATGTAAATTGAGCAGCTACAGGTTTGAATTTAACATTATTTTACAGACTTACATCCCTTCAAAATGGAGAAAGCAAAGTGTGTCGCATGATAATATTTTAAAAAAAATTAAATTTTTTACATTTTAACCAGCTTTTTGTAGTCTTTGCAAACCTCCCTCCCTAGTCCCTAGGACCCTGACCATTAAAGTTAGAACTTAGATTTCTTATTTTCTAAGGTTATGTAAAAGCTTTAGACCCCCCCCCCCAGCCTTTTTGTTGTTAAATTTTCATTATAAATAAAAAAAATTTAAAAATATGGGGCATGAAGAATGAGGATGGCCTCTGCGGCCGGCAAACCTCTGGGCATAAAAGGGTATTTTATCTCAGGATATAATCTATTTTAAAACTAGAAAATTTTATTTTTGTTAAAGAACTTTAAACAATGTTTTTTCTATCCGTTAATGGAGTTAATTATTAATTGAAAATTGTTCAACTCTAAGCACAAAATGTACTTTTGAACCTAAAACATTTAGACACCAATGAAAAAATCTTCAAAATAAATAAAGATTTTCTGGGATAAATTTAAATGTATTTGTGTAAGAGAAAAACTACCAATTTATTTATTGGAAACCCTGTATTTTTAATATTTAGGAAGGATATTTGAAACTTAAACATATGTACAATTATATATGGAAATACTCCTAATTAACTATTATGTGGTATGTTTTAAAAATAAAACATTTCATTTAAAATTCAAAGAATTATGTTAAAAGTTAAAAAATGATTGATATGAACGTTCACACTTTTTAACAGCAAGTTTTTCATTGATTAAATAAAAAAATATTTTAACAGCCGCTGAGATTATATAATAATATACTTCATTCAGAATTTACATATAGTGTTATTGAATTCTGTTTATAACAATTAAGCCTAGGAAATGCAGTGATTAAGAAACAAGCGATGATGTAAATAATCTAGTGTAAAAACTTAAAAAGTTATAAATGCAAGAAGAATATGTGAAGTACACTATCTGAAGTGCCCGGTGTTGCCCGTGAACTTTTAAAATCACTTGAAAAAATTTCGAATTTTGAAGTATGTATACATACATCATATACATATAAATAAATATATGAGCGTGAAGAAATTTATTATATAGACAATCTAAAGTGCCCGGCGTTGCCCGGAATAAAAAAGAAATTCTTTTTAAACATTTTTTTTGCTTATTTTACTAGGGGTATCCATGGGTTCCCTAAAAAAATTCCGCCATTTTGGTGGGGGGTAGCAAAGTCATTTATTGGACTGGGCACATTTAGGGTACATTTTTGATAATTATCAAATCAAATATTTTTTCTGCTAATGCTTTCATTTCTTATATTTATGTTTTAGATCTGCTATTTATTTATTAATGGTGTGTGCTATTTCACATTATGCATAAAATTTAAAAAATTTAATTGTTAACTTTTGGTTTATTTTTCAGACATGAATTTGTTTCTTTTAGTTTTGGGACAAGGTGAATTTTGAATTTATAATAAGTTTTCTAGAAGCATTTTAAATTATTAACTGTTGCTTTTCAAGCCGCCATTATTCATCGTTTCCATCGCAAAACTAATAATTTCCCCGGTTTTTTTAAAGCACGATAGATTTCCAAGCAAAAATTGAACTCACATTTTTGCTACAAATATTTTTCAATTTTGACAATCCATAAACTTTCCCTGAGGTCTTGTGAAATACCACAAAATACTTTGGTCATTTTCCTGGGGGATTAGAGCGTTTCACGCCACTTTAGTAACACGTTTAGCTGTTTTAGTATGTTGTACTTGACGGCAATTTACAAACGTTTTCATGAATTTTCCTGTTTTAATCGGGGGGTTATAAAAGTACCGTAAATGTCATATTTTTCTATTTTTTCCAAAAAATTTTCATTTTCAACCAACCATAAAACTTACTTCCATGGGGTCATGTGAGATGCCAGACAAAATTTGGCCCTGATGGGTTTAGCTATTTTGACGTTTATTGTTTACAAACAAACAAACCAAAAAAATATTTATAAATATGCTAACTTTTAAATGGTTTCAGTGTGTGTCCTTGCAGTCGCAGCTCAAAGTAAGATATGTCAAAAAAAGTTAATTTATAGACTTCAATAATTTATCACCTTTCAGTACCTTCATTTCAACTCGTAAAACCTTTTAAGTAAATGTTGGTCTTTTACTTGTCTTTGTTGTAGAAATCCATCAGCCACATATATGTACTATTGAGTTAACAACATTGAGTAAAAAGATCAATTTCCCTTTGTTTGTTTTTATTGTAAAATCCTCCAATTGTAAACGTAAAAAGTAGAAAAAATTTTAGAACAAATTTAATTATTAATTACGGGTTTTCCACAACGGATGAGACTTCAATGACGACAAAAAAATACTGATACATGTATATAATTATACTGATCCAATGGCTGACCTCTGTTGTTTTGCTTGATCAGAAATATAATCTTTATAAAAACATATTTAATGATTTTGCAAAGAAAGAACAAGATGCACAGCTGCAGTCGTCTCTAAAGACTAATCCCTTGGGGGTAACCCTATATGTAGATATAATTTAATTGTTATAATAAAATTAATTCTAGATAACAAAACAGAAAATAAAGAGGACCTGAGCAAGAAAATAACCAATCTACTTGCACCAGAAAATGAAGAATTTCTTAAAAGCGGTAATTTGACCTTTAATACTTTTCAAAAATGTTGTCCGCATTTATTAAGAATTTCGTTTAGATTTTAATTTGTGAAATAATACCAAAATTGTCGAAATCTGAACAAAATTCTACATATCTTCGGTAATATTGAAAGCTCAAAATAGGCAGACGACAGGGAAGTGTCAGGACACAGGCTTATTTTGTGATTTTTATCTTGAGATTTATAGTTGTGTAAAATTAGGTTTACAAATAAAATGCTGTAAATTATTTCTACTGTCGTCTGTCATGTCTCGTGAGGAGAATTCATATTTGTCAGATAAACTTTTGTAACGAACACACCAAGGAGTATGAAATAAAAGGGAGAAACAACTGACGCTGCCCGCCCTACCATATGATTATACAGGGTGTCCCACGAAACATGACAGTATGCAGGACGACTTGAATGTCGTCTTGATTTTTGATATCAAATCAAATCAAATCAAATATTTTTTATTTACGCAGAAACATTGTTAAAAATTATTATTACAAGTGGTAGATTAATTGACAACTGATTAATGTTCTGCGTCTGGAGAACTGCTATAGCTGTAGCTGTTTTCATATCAGCTCCCCAGTTGCTCGATAATAAAAGAAAGAAATATTATAGATACGGTATTGACGGTGTGGTGGTGGATGGTTTAGGTAGGGCAGGAGGACTGGATAGAGGAGAACAGGGACCTCTAAGCTTCAACTATGATTTGTAAATATTAGATAATCAGGACAATCTGGACTCCAATGAATACATAACCTTACAAATTTCAATTTATCAATTCTGAGTATATGATTAACTGGAAATCTATATGAATGAGTAAAGATGATGAGATCGTTAATAACTAGATAAAACCCCCACCCTTTACAATCTGTACACCAAAATTTACTCAACAAATTCCAGAAGATATACTTTCAAGTCGTCTTGCTATTGTCATGTTTCGTGGGACACCCTGTACATACTTTGCAGACGGGTACTCCATTTGAATAAGAAATATTCAGAATAGAATATTGTATATGCGGTAATTGTATACATCAGACAAATATTTCTTATACAAATGGAGTACCGTCTGCAAAGCATGTATAATCATATGGTAGGGCCGCGGGCGGAACGCGTCAGTTGCATCTCCCTTCTGTTTCATACTCCTTGGAACACATATCTTCTTGAGTAATTTTGAAGACTGTCTTATTTTAAATAATTTATTCATTTTTATAATTTCAGAAGTGGCAGATAAAACTAAAAACCGATGTAAGTTACTTTGTTCAGATACATTTAGAAAATTATAAAACTGTTTTAACTAATTTTTAAATTTTTTTTTTGTTTAAACTTTGAAATGAAGCGTCCTATATAAAATTTAAAACTTCACAAAAAATTGATTTAATATACAGGTAGTCGGCGTTTATATCAATATAATGAAGACGAATCTTCTATTTATATTTTGATTTCTTACAAGGTTTTTTCAAATTACAAGTTTTCAAGTAAACCAAGTGTTGGCTGTTAACTGAAATCTTTTTTTAGTTTTCCGATCTAAGCCTGCCTCCACTCCTGAAGAAAAAGTTGCCAAACAAATATGGCATGGCATAAGAAAATTACCGTGCAAAAAGGTGGAAAAGTTATATTTAAACTATTATTTAATGAACAATTAAGATGCTTCCCATCCCAGTTTTTTAATTCAAATTTTATAACAAAATTATTTCAATTTTCAATTGGCAGTAAACCTACCCGAGGGATTATGTGAAAACTTTTGGACTGATTAATTGGTTCAGATGTAATTAAAACAGAAATTAAAATTTTTTTGTAATTTGTAAAACAATTGGTATTTGCCAAATTCATCGGTTTATGTTTTGTTTGGACCAACTGCACCCTTTTCACAATTCTAATTCCAAACCAAATCTCAACCTCTATGTTTGCACTCCGAGGGGGGGGGGAGGAAAGCTAGGTTGCTTTGCTTGTCTGTTTGTCTGTTTGTTTGTAACTGTTTTGACAACTCCAGAACTGATCGGGCCCAACTTTTTTGTGGGACCTCACATGACGCTAGGGGAGGATGAATGCACAGAATTACAAAAAAATTTCTCCAAAACTTTTTGATTTTCGTAAAATTTAGAGAATCCAAAAAAAATAGTTATTAAATCCGCTTTTCTAATTGTTAAATCGAGGCCTCCTACCGGCGCCTTCGGGTTTACTTGGGTCGGTCCCATTTCTAAAGATATTAATTGCGTTTTCACCCACTAAACGTCGTTTTATTTTACTACAATGTGTGCCTAATAGATACAATAATTTGGGGGGTCGTCTTAAAAAAAAAAAATTTTAATCTAAAATGCCGTTCTAGCCTTCAAATATACTCGGTCCATTTTCCAAAGATTTTCAAAAAAATAATTAAAATCTTTTTCGTCTTTCAATTTTAAAAATCCTCAATTCTATCATTGAAAATATGAATTTATACTGTCGTATAAACCTAAAAGTAAAATTATAATTTGAATTTTTTTTTTAAATGTTGGAAAAGGAGACTGAGCACATTTTAGCATATTAGGTCCGCTTTTGAAGGTTAACAAGGCATTTTAGAGAAAAATCTTTAACCAACGACCCCCCAATTTGTGGACATTGTACCTACTGGAAGCACTTTTTAGCACATTTGACTGATATTTAGTATACTAAAAAGATTAAACACACTTTTTTCAGAGACACCCTGTATATTTTAAATTTTTAGGATTGTGGAACTTTCAGCGAACACTATCAAGAATCTCTGAGTAAAGTTGTTGAACTATTCTCAACTATTGAAACTAATGAAGAGATTGATCAGGATGATAGCACTCTGTTCTCTATTTACAAAGAAGTAACTGAACTATATTTGGATGATGAGGTAAGGATGTATCGTAAATATTTGAGAAAAAGGAATGTGTAATTTTTAACTATTAATTGAACGTTCAGTATCCATTCTTCAAATTTTAATTTGCTTAGTCCTACTTTATAAACATACTTTTTGCATAAAATAAACCTTCCATATTTTTAGAACACCAATAAGGAACTTGTCAAATCAGGATTTCTAAAAGCTATAAAAAATAGGTAAACAAATATCTCCAAAAATTGAACATATCCAGAAAATTGATATATTATAGTCCTTCCACTTTGATACAGAGGTGCTCCTAAAGAGCGTCCCATATCATGTTAGATTATCTCTAATATTTAACGCCAACATAAACGAATAATACTCAAAAATTCTTATAAAAGCCTTATTTTATTTTTCAAAATGATTCATTCTAATTAAATTTTCTGATTAGTCCCGAAAATCGTAATTTAGACCCATTGACGGTTTAACATGATGTGGGACACCCTGTATGTTTGGGAATTAAGTGACGACATTTATATCGTTTTTGCTCATCGCGGCATTTTTCGAAAATACAATTTAAGTAGTATCATATACATTTAAAACATGTAACACTGAAACCTATATGTCTTGAGATTCATAAAATAATTGAGAAATTCTTCCAAATTTAAACTTATTAAAAACAACAAAATTGCTCAAATGTTTATAGCTTCGTCATTTTAAAGGTACAAATTATAAGATGAAAGACTGCAAGGGGTACAAGCTGTTCTTGAAACACTCTTCGTCATTTATCAATTATCGGAATTCAGATACGATTTTTAAGTCGTTGCTTAGTTCTCAAGTTTATTGGGACACCCTGTAGTTTAAATTAAAGTTAAATTATTGTTGGATTTATCCAGATTTATAATTGGCTTTAGATACTTTAAGTATTATGTCAAAATGACGGTAGAAAGTTTGGTACAGGGTTTCAAGCGAAATGTGGAATTGTTTTTTGCCAATCATTTTGCATATTTTCGCTATCCGTTTATAGAAAAAAAATGAAACAATTTTTGCATATTTTATTTTTATTTCGCAAAATTTCGCGAAAAGTTTGCGTTGTACGTCTGAAAAGCTGCATAAGGTTGAATCAGACAGAAAACTCTTTAATTGTTCATCACTTGAAATTACGATGACAGTTCCTTTAACAATGTTTGTTTTCAGTAAGAACCCAGACCTGAAGAATGTACACATAGATCCAGCAGACATTATTCAATCTCTCAGAACTGAAAATATGAAGAAAGGAACCGGATTTAGAGGTATTGTTTAACCTTTAACCGGAGGTTGGAAATTATGTAATGTTAATCCTTTTAGAAAGAACTAACAGTAACTTCTGTACTTAGACAAAATTATATATTTTTCGGTATCATTTAAGGTCCAACCAATCATAATGGCAGCTGTTTTAAAGGGATTATAGTCACTAAAATTCCATCAAATTAAAGGGATTAATCACTTAAATTCCATCAAATTAAAGGGATTAATCACTTAAATTCCATCAAATTAAAGGGATTAATCACTAAATTCCATCAAATTAAAAGTTTCCATTGTAAAAGTGGAGTACAAAAATGACTGAAAAAAATGTTTGAATTATTTTGCTTTTAATTAATGAAATATCTTCAGTAATGTTGAAAGCATGAAAATGACAGATCACATTTTGGAAATGCTTGTAAAATGGTTTAAAAGAGAAGGACGCAGTTTACTGCAAGAAATCAGTCTCTAAAAAAGTTAGCATTCTGCAAAATAGCTTTAAAATGACAACTCATTACCTAAAATGAATCTGTGTACACTGCACTATTGCTGTTTTCATATGCTTATTGGTATATCTTTAAAATCATAACTTGGGTCTAACACAGTTGTCGTCTTATTTTTATTGATTCATTGTATAGTTAAACCCAAGTATAAGAAGACATCGGAAAAATTTAAAAATATTCTTGAAGATTTTTACGGGGATTTGCCGCTGAGAATTATATAATATGAAGGATTTTATACAGCGTCAAATTCAAAATCAAGACGACATCCTATAAATTCTTCCAATGTCATCTTATATATGAGTTTAGCTGTATGCTATTCATTTTTCAGCGGGTGCCGGGGAAACACCTTGGGACCAGCTCAAGAAATTTCCTACTCGAGTTCAAGGTATTTATTAAAGGGACTGTAAGGTTTATTTCCTACTCGAGTTCAAAGTATTTATTAAAGTCTAATTTTAAGTCACCCTCCATAAAGTTATGAAAACGCCCGATTCACAATGGTACCCTTAAAAGCTTTGAATGACAAAGTATGAATTGAATATTTATGTTTAAATTTTAAAAACTGATTTTTTTCAATTGTGGTTTCTCTACAAAAGTGACTAGCTCATCTCTTTAGCAGGAAAATACATAGGAAATAACATTATTAACCCCTTTTAAACCTATAAAAACGACAATATCTTCCACATTATTGATCAAGGGTGCTGTTGTGATTTGGACATTGCCATCATTAAATGGAGGATCCCTTTAGTCTTAATGCATTTAGATTATCACAAACATAGATTAATAAAAGAATTTGATTGAAACTGCACTTTCATTTTGTTTTACTTTTCAAAAAGCTAGGAAAAAGAAAAGCTTCCTTAACGAATTTACAAAAATCAATATAATTCCAATAATGGACAAAAGAAATTATAGATTCAAAAACAAATGGATGCTTAAAAAAAACAATTTTAATCTTAATGGCACTTCCTGTATTCGCTGCTGTCTATAGCAAATAGCCATTAATTTTTTTAAGAACCAAAATATTCTTTTTTTGGGAATCCTTTTTCCTATGATAATTAAATTTCGCGTTAAAATTTGGTTTTTATGTTACGCTTTTGCACAACTATACAAATGTGTAATAAGCTACTTTTTGTTCCAAAAGTAGTGGCGTAAAAAAGATAAATTTTACTACTAACTAACCATAAAGCAATTATCAGAGCAGCTTCTCAGTTTTCATATACTAACTAACTAAGTATTTTTTAGCACCTGATGACAAATTGGACTACTTTAGGTAATTGAAAAAATATTTTCAAAATTTGTAAATCAATATTTTTTCTTTGTTAAGAGAGGATCAAAATCTACATGTTTTTCATACAACCTTCCACAATAACTATCAAGACTTTGAGACGAGAAAACATGAACATTTCTTCTACTTTCACAGATTGTTAACTTACAGGTAATACTGTTGTTCTACGCGGGAATGAGGGAGGTGATCCCCCCCCCAACCTGAAATTCTTAAATGACGTCATGGAATGGAGCGCCTCCGATCCTCTCCCATTTGGTCTTACAATAAATGTTATTCCACTTTGTTTGAAAATGCCTTATGCATTTATGAGGTTGTGTGCGGACCACATTTTGGAAATTCCAGGATTGGGATGCTTATTGTTTTAAGAATCATACTGTTACGTTAAGTGGGATATACTGAACATATTTAGATATTTTAATGAGAGGGATACAGAGGGACTTGACGCTGTTGTACCACTAAACAAGGAAAACAGAAAACAAGAATTCAGGTAAATTTACAGAGTGTTGGCATTTTTTAAAAATTCCGTTCTTGAAAAAAGACGAAAATTTTCCCACTTTTATTTCTCAGAAAATTCCGCATCGTTTTCGATGCCTTTCGCAAAATTCATTTTCGATGCGAAATTTTGCGAAAGTTTTTTTAAGCAAGAGCATTTCCCATTAACGATCATTCTAAAATGAAAAAAAACTTTCTCCAAGAAACTAAAACAATCTTAATTTAACGACAAGAACGAACAAGTTTTTGTTAAAAATGCTTTTTTATCATCCTTTGTGATGATTTAGAACGTTTTTAATAATTTGACATTCACAGAACGATAATGTTTTGTAATGGGACGACTTGGAGACTAAAGATTGAGCCATCATCAAATCACGAATGGGTCGATCAGAGTTTTGATAATAATCATTATTTTTTAGTTCTTTCTATTCAATAACTCCTGAAAATGATCCAAGCAATAACCTTGGACAATTTACCAGGTAAAATAGAAAACTGAAAATATTCTTTAAATATTTATTCTTTAAACATTAAATTTGAATAATTTTAAAATGCGGTTTTATGATAAAGTTAACTTCAGATTTGATCTTTTTATGAAAAATGCATGTGAATAGGGCTTGAAATGTGAATAGGGCTTGAAATGTGAATAGGGCTTGAAATGTGAATAGGGCTTGAAATGTGAATAGGGTCCCCTGAAATTTAAACAAATTTAAACATTAAATAGATTTCCATTCTGATTTTGAAAATGTTATGCAATTTTTCGTGTTATGCGTGTTATCTTGTATTTAAAATATATGGACCATTAAATCAACATTTTTTACAGCAATAAACCAACATGCACTCTTTCTGCAGAATCAAGTAAGTTTTCAATATTAAATTTTGACTGAATCTAAAGTTAATATCTTATTTTTTATAAAGATGGTATTTTGGAGAAATCTGAGAATGAATGCGACAGGGATTGGTTATAAACTATTACACTACTATACAATAATACATCTATTATAATATTTTCACATTAAAGGGTTATTAAATAATTGTTAAAAATTTCCGCTATTTATCCACTGAAAATTAACGGTTTTTGTTATTTGGAATTTGTTGGTTTTTAAGATTTTCTGTATTTTAGAACGTTAACTTTTATCTATAACTTTGAATTAAAATAATTTTCGTTATTCATTAACAGAATTTAATTTTTTTTAGACCGATCGAAAACAAAGTTTAAAAGCCGTTCCTTATTGTTCGTTAACGACCCATTTCGTTCGTTTTTTTAGATAAGCAAAAATTAGAATTCATTCGTTTTCAGAATTTCGTTTTTTTTATTTTCTCTGTATGATTCAAATTGTTCGTTTATTGTTCGTTAATTTTTCTGAACGACTATATCGTTCAGAAAAATTTCGTTTGTTCACAAAACGATGCCCACTTCTAGACAGTGCACACTGGGGAAATTAGGAAAATATCATTTGAAAACTTAATCCAAATATCTTTCAAGAAACTCAGATTTTCTAATCCCTATATCTTTACACTCAGATATCGAAGACCTTTAATAGTTCTAACAATGAATTCTGTTAGCTCAAATAGTCTAGATTTAAAATGTCAAATCTTAACACCATCAGGTTGCAAAGATATCGGGATTAGATAGTTTGAGTTTGTTACAAAAACTTCCCTAACCTGTTTGTTTTTAACCAAAGTTTGACTAGTCAAGTGGGATCTGGAAATATAGAAGTTTATGGGAATGCATGTGCGCAGTATCATAATGATGGGCATAACCATATCAGGTAGAGTTTTTATAATTTTTTCCTGGAATTTCTAACAAAGAAAATGATTTGCTGATCCTGACATCTTTACAAGCGGATGTAGTAGACCTTTAATAATCCAAACATTAATTATGCTAGATCACGTAGTCAAAGTATAAACTAATAAAGGTTTGCAAAGATATAAGGTGGCAATCTATTTTCAACTAGCTTGGGAACCCAGCGCTGCCCAGGTTACTTAAAGTTACTCCCGCCGTTTACCCGCACTTAAACGATTTTACCGGGAAACTAAGTTTTCACTATTAAAGTCAAACCACTCAATTTAGAATTGCAAAACCATGGTAAAAATTCCCGTGACTCTCCCGAGTTCCCCAATCAAAATGTGAGGCAAATCGATCCAGGGGTACCTGAGTTATGAAGAATATAATTTGATTTACAATAAACTACTTGTTAAATTCAAGCTTAATTATAATTGATAACATAGTTCTGCAATTTCCTTGACTGTTATAGTCATGTTGTGTGTCTGTACCAAAAGAGTGTGCGTGTGTAATAAGGAACCTGTCTGCTTTCTCATGCCAGACCAGCGCCATTTCCTCTCCCTTTATTCTTATCCCTGACGGTAATCGTAATGCAAAGATGACAAAGATTTACAACGGTTCCCTTAAAGCTTTGTCTGATCAAGTATGATATCAATGTTTATAATTTTGAAAACTGATTTTTTTCAATTTTGGTTTGTCTACAAAAGTGACTTACGTTACAGGAAAACAAATAGAAATTATCAGAATTAAATACTTTTAAAACTAAAACAATTACAATATCTTCCATATTATTGATCATAAAAAGGTTTCAATGTGGATCGAGGAATTGTCATCTTGGAGGGTCACTTGAATATCTTAAACTTTAAACTTGAAATTCTTCAGTGCTGATTGTGTTGATGGTTCTCCTCCTAGCTTTGGTGTAATATATTCTTCAGGAGGTATTCAATTTTTATCTAACTTTTAATATTTGTTTTTCAATTATTGTGCCCTTTATGCATATAAAAAATGGCATATTGCAGCATTTTCTTTTTTTCTCTAAACGTTTATTTTAAATTAGCACAATCTATCATGATAAATACGTACACTTTTTACAAAATTACTTATAAATACTAATATATATATAGATGTGTCGTAAATAGCGTTTACAGCAAAAAAGAAAAATCGTTTCGCGAAAAAAAATTTTCCCAAAAAGTTTGCTTTAATCTGTTTCTCGAAAAAATGCGAAAAGACAAAATACAGCTTTAAGACCTATGGTTTTCGCGAAAAATAATTTCGCTTTGTTTTTGCATTTTTCGCTGTATTCAATTTTGCGAAAAACTGCGAAAGTTCGCGAAAAAGTTTGCGAAATACGAACAAAAATTTTCGAAGTTTTTCGCGAAACGTTTCGTTCGCTGAAAACCCTAGTCGTAAAGCTTAGCATACTGGTTTCCTACAAAGATTAAAACTTCAGACTCCTTTTCCAAACGTTCAAATCTATCATTAAAAGAGTATTATTTTGACAGAAGACACAATTTATCCTTAAGATCGTTGAATTTAAAACTTTCAATTCATCATGAAAGCTTAATACGTTTATTGCGCAGTTCAGTATTTTGTAATTACTTTTCTATTCCCTTATTTTGTTTAAATATGAAAAGAATTCTGTTTTAGCGTCTGCGAGAGATACAGTGTTTTTCAAGTAAGAGAAAAAAATTAAAAGTATATTGATAATTTTGCAATTTAAAAAAAAAATTCAATAGATCATTTTCTATTTAATTTTCTATAAAGTAGTTTAATTAAAGGGACTGTTAGCATAATTTAAAGTCACCCTCCAAGTAAAGATGGCAGTTCACGATTTATAGTTACACTGTAAATCTTTTATCTAATCAAGCATGACTTAAATATCAATGTTTGCGGGGAAAGGAGAGGAGAAAAGAAACGAAACCAGAGGGGGGGGGGGGTTAAGAGACAGGAGATGAGAAAGAAAAGATCAAAAAAAAAAAAAAATAGAAGTTCTAATGTTGAAATTTGTCTTAAGCTCAAATTGTTTACCAACAACTAGAAATGAACAAGGAAAACTAATAGAAGCTAATACGATATTATGCAGCTTTGTTGAAACCGGGAGAAGCTAAAAAACCTATCCGACTATACTTAAGCTAATAAAAAATGTTAAAAAAAACGATATCAATGTTTATAATTTTGCAATAACTGGTGATTTAAAATTACGCGTACAGTCCCTAAAAAATACATGTTTTTGTAAACGTTAAAATGTTTACTCAAATCCATTTTTCTATAAATATACTTTGAATTTGTTTTATTTCAGGTGGCATTTTGAAGTTGACAACAAATACGAAAACTTTTTGGTAAGAATGAACTTTAGAATTTTCTAGATTTATATTAAAGTAATCTTCTAGATTTTCATAAATGCAAGAAATTAAGTTGAAAAAAATGGTTTTGTAACATTAATCAAAAACCTTTTTTGTCAGAGGGCTCAGCGCCCTTATACTAGAGAGGAGATTTCACCTCCACAGGGTAAGATTATTTTTAGCATTTTATGTTTTAAAAATTAAAAAAACTAATTGTCTAGCGCAAAAAAAAAACAATGAAATGTAAAATATAATTATGAGTTATGTAAATCAACAAAGGAACAAACTCAAATTTTTCTAATCTTTATATCTTTGCATCATGATGGTGTAAACCTTTGATTTTTCAAACTTAGACTGTCTGGTCTAGTAAAATTGATAATTTGAAATATCATAGGTTTACATAAATTGGCCTGGGTTGCAAAGATACAGAGGTAAAAAAATCAGAGTTTGTGGCAAAAATCAATTCCTTTAGTTCTGATAAAAAAACAGTTTGCTTTAGGTTTAATCTTAACTAATGTTGAGTTAAGATCAAGATGCAGTTCCCCGAATCAGGTATTTAGATTTAAAGGGATTGTCAGCGTAGATTAAAGAGAGCCCTCATACAAGGATGCACTGTCAGATTCACAACAGTTCCCTTTAAAGCTCTGTCTGAATATGTATGAATTAGATACCAGTGTTTTTAATTTTTAAACCTAATTTTTTTCAGTTGAGGTTTCTCTACACAATTGATTTCATCGCATTTCTACTGCAGGAAAAGAAAAAAAGAAAAAAGAATCATAAAAGTTAAATACTTTTAAATCGAAAAAAATGATAACATTACTGAGCTGAATGGTGGATATCGAGATAATTGCGTGATCCTCTCTTTTTCATAATATCGATACTAATCTAATCTTGTACTTGTATCCTGAAAAGTGTATAAAATTCAACCAATCAGAGTCTTGTATATGAAGCCAATAAATTTAAAATTTTGCGCGCCATTTAAGAATACATACAGAAATGGAAGGAACTTTCTAATTTAAAAAAGCCGGTTTTTGATTTTCTCTCCTATATCCAAGAAGAGTGTCCATTGGATACTCAGACTAAGTAATCGGGATTAAGGATATCTCATTCTAAAGTTCTCAGCTCTGATCAGATAACGTTTCAAGGGTAGCGTTGTAAATCGTGCATTACTACCTTTGCGTGGAGGATCACTTGAAATTACGCTTACAATCCTTCAAATCTTTGTTTACAGCTAAAATTTTTGCATGTTTGTTTGTTTGTTTATTTGTCTGTTTGAATCTGATATAATTGAAAACGGTTGAATTAAACGGGCGGTCGATCAGAACAGAATTTAAAAAACATTGCCGCACATTTTTTTTTTAAATATTGAAATCCACTTATGAGACGGAATAATCTTCAAAAACGTTAAATTGGAGAACTTAAAATTAAATTAAAGGAAATTGTTTAGGTTGAAACTTATTGGGAAATCAAAGACTCAAGATACCAGCTTAATCATATGAAGTACAGTTTAAGAATAAGGTGCATATTTTATAAATTTTAATTCATTCTTATAACTTTATAATCTACAGTATAACTCATACTTAAGAAGAAAAGGGGAAGAATTTTGATAATGTCGTCTGAAAGTTATTTATTGATCGTGCAGCCAAAGCCGCCAAACGTTCTGCGAACAAAAGAAAATTGCAACAGAAAAAGCAGAAGAATTTCTTGGGTAAATTAAGAAAGTACATTGATTTCTTCAAATATCTAAAAATATCACACATTTTTTAATTTGCCCAATTTGTGTGCATACTTCCTTCTTCTTACCAAGAAAAAAAAACTTTTAATAAATTAAATTTATAAAATACAATTTTTTAGTTTGCAAAATGCAAATGGATTATCCGATAAAGTAATAGTTAGAGTTTATCTGGTCAAAGAAAAATTTGTGTAAGTATTATTTTTTCTTAAGATAAATAGTATTGCTTAAGATAAATAGTATTGCTTAAGATAAATAGTATTGCTTAAGATAAATAGTATTTCTTAAGATAATAGTATTTCTTAAGATAAATAGTATTTCTTAAGATAATAGTATTTCTTAAGATAAATAGTATTGCTTAAGATAAATAGTATTGCTTAAGATAAATAGTATTGCTTAAGATAAATAGTATTGCTTAAGATAAATAGTATTGCTTAAGATAAATAGTATTGCTTAAGATAAATAGTATTGCTTAAGAATTGAGCCTTTGCCACAAACTCTGATTTTCTAATCCCTACATCTTCGCAACTCAATGTTGTAGACCTTTGATATTTCTAACTATAAATTCTTTAGATCAAATCAAATCATATAAGTTTAAAATATCAAAGGTTTGCAATAAATGTTTTACTCCAATGTTTCTTTAAGTGTGTCTCAATCCACACACAACGATATCGAACTCTATCCTCTCTACCGAATCCTGGTAGGTCTAGGTATTTATTTTTTGACACACAAAGCTTTCAAACATTATACCCTCTACCAAACAATGGTAGGTGTAAGTGTGTATCTATCCACACACAAAGCTATATCATCCATTTGGGTGGTTACGTTTTGATGATAAATTTTTTTAGTTATTGAACAGCAATGACAAAAATGTAAAAAAGTTTCTACAGTAAACAAATTAGATGTTTAGGAACATATTTCTCAATTGAAATTTTCTCAATAAACCAATGTTAGAATCGATAATTTATTATCATTATTACATTGAATTTCTTATTCTTTACGAATTTGTTCGCAGATTTCTTCTAATTTTTTTAATGTTGTCTTTCCAATAAATATTCCAGGAAATATAGAGAAAATGTTTGTGAACAATGAGACATTACAGAAACCAATAACAGAATAAGATTACTTATTTTCGATGATAATAGTTAATTTTTATTTTCTGAACCTGTTCCCAAAAACAATATATAAGTTTACTGTAGAAGTTTATTACATTTATCGTCGTCGTTATTGAAAGGTTTTTTAAAAGGAACAATCTATGAGGATTTTAAAGATAGAATTTGCGCTCTTCCTGAACAAAAATGTACCGTAAAAACTTTTCATAGGTCTCAAACGACTCCTATAAAAGACTTTCTCCACCATATTACATTCACAGTTTAACTGCCATTCATTGCCAGTCACTCCCTTTAATGCGTCAAACTACAAAAGGTATCTTTACTATTGGTACTTTCTGAATTGAATTGTTAAACTTTATAATTTGCTTAGCTAAATATTCTATTTCTTAACTTTTTCTATTTTTCAGGGCAGACCATAAATACTTCTTTGAATTGGATAGATTTACGCATAAACTATCAGGAGAGAGAGAAGAAACCATTGATAAGGAAGACAAGGATAGTTCCCTTGTTTGGAGAGTATGTTAACTTTGACATATTTCATCACTCTAATTTTACAGGACTTATTTCTTGCGGATCTTTTGTCATGTCTCTTTCAATTATTAATGAATTTTAATGAAACTTTGTAAAATAAAACAAAAAACATTTTACATTCAATTTTTAAAGAAATTCAAATTTTAAAAAAATGCTTTCGCGGATTTTTAAAAAAAAATGTTCAAAAAATAAAAAAAAATGTTATACAGTGAAACCCTCAATAACGAATACATCGAAAGAATTCATCAAATGTCGTATTCTTCACTTTCTGATAATGGAATGTTGCAGATATTTAGTTTTTTAATTAAATGATTATATAGAACTCTTTAAAACTGTTCCCACATATTCATGGCTATTTATTTATTTTCGCAAATACCGAAATTTACATAATATAGTATAAAACTCATTGAAAAATTGTCAAGGCGACATTTGATAAATTCTTCCGATGTATTCGTTATTAAGGGTTTCACTGTAATTTCAATGTTTTAATAACTAAATTCCGAAACAAATAAAAATGTTGAAAATTTTGTGCAAAACATTGTTACTCTCGATTTTTATCTTATCCTGTATCAGCACAACCACTAGCAAAATATCGACTGAAGCAAAGTGTACTTATACTATCTTTGCCCGGATGAATTCTATTGAGTGAAATTTGATCTGAACAAACCTATTAGAAAAGATCATGCCCACCAAATGTGTTAAGCTTTTTTAAAATGAAACATAAAAATACCCATTATTTTTCATATAATCAATATTTTCTTATTCTATGCTTTTCCCCTTCAACAAATGATGCAAATAATGAACAATATTTTTGAAAAATCCAAAATAAAAATTGGGAGTGCTTTCCAAACTATTTTAAAAGTGATGTCTCAAAACTTGCTAATATTCTAAGAACCAAATATTATTATTGATTAACAATAAGAACAAAAAGAAGTTATAGAAAAAATAACAGAAAAGTCTGTTAACAAACGACAAAACGGAGAGAAAACGACATTTTTGAAAGAATGTTTTTTTCTTCCCCCCCCCCCCCGCTTATTTCTGAAGTAAAAGAATTTTACGTATTTTGATATTTTTTCTTGTTCCATATTTTCTTAAAAATACTTAATTTATTGCCTAGCAACAAGACGAGTGTGGTTGGGCGAGCTCCTTGGTATTACCAAAAGGAATGAACCAGAAACCTGAAAAATATAGGTAACCAATACTTAAAATATTCTATAGTCTTTACGGTACGTTATATCAAGGCAATGAATTAAGTTTACTTTTGATTTAAATTTTGATTTTTACCAATTTTTCAAACATCATTGTTACACTTAAACATGTAGATAAAAAAAGCTTCTGATTACAAATTAACAGATTCTCTTTATTTACTTGTAAACTTGAAATTTGAAATTTGAATAAAGATTATTAGAAATCCAAACTTGAATAGAAAATTTGTCTTATTACCATTCTTAGCTAATATTCTATCCAACTAGACTGATTGTCTAATATTCTATCCAACTAGACTGATTGTCTAATATTCTATCCAACTAGACTGATTGTCTAATATTCTATCCAACTAGACTGATTGTGTTCATGAATGACCTTCAGGATCAATCTGTTACTGAGGGAGAAAATGATGAACCAACTATGTAAGCCTTTATTTTTATGTTTTTAAAATATACAGTGATAACCAGAAAACACTGGAATACGAAGGCGACATTATAGCAATGCTTTAGAGTATTTGATGTTGTTGCAAAGCAAATAGTTTTACTAGACACTAATTTAGTGAAATGGGTCTGTTTACACTGCATAATTGTCGTGTCTCATGCTCATCAGACTTTTAAAAGTAATAATTATATTATAAAAGTCGTCTTTCTATTCCAGAGTTTTCTGATTATTACAATAAATACAAAAAATTAAAATGAATTTGGATTTTCTAATAAGTTTGTTTATTGTCCGTAATTTCCTTGCCCCTCTACTATTCAACCTACTAGGCCTGTCCGTAATTTCCTTGCCCCTCTACTATTCACCCTACTAGGCCTGTCCTTAAAATTCACCACTTCTTGTTTCCTTCCTTCTTTTTCCCTTTCTTCTTAAATTATTTTGTGCTTTGTGATATGTATTAGTTATTAGTCAACTTAAACCATTAAATGCATGTGTTAACTTTTGAGTGCCAGTCAATCAGACAACCAGAAATGGTTAGACTGTTAAAATTTATTTATGAATTATAAAAACTAAAATGTCTAAATTATAATTCCATAAATAATAAATAATAAATAATAAATCCACCAAACAGGTTTCAATTGAGCGCCGGTTTAAATATTGAAACATTGAATACAATTTTAAGTGGAACCAATCATATATGAGCCACGTCTCAAATTTAAGCCGCGGATCCAATTCTTTGATTTTGGTTTCTTGAATCTTTAATTTCTTAACCTGTATTTTTAAGATTATGTGGCTCAAAATCTAACATGGATCCAAGGGCAAATGGATTTCCCGTGGAAAGAAGCTGGCAAGGGGTTAACAAACAAGATATAATAGATAACAAGGATAGGTATTTACTTATAATACTTCTATATTGGTCTTAACTTTTTACAGTATTTTTTTAGTGGATTTGGCAAGATATCTTCAGTTGTTGAGATTCTTAATCGGGGTTTAAATCCAACAAGCTGTGACGATGCTGAATTTTCAAAAGATATGGCATCCACAAGTTCTCCACCTTCTAGTTCACCTAGTTCAGGGGATTTAAGAGGAGCCCCGCATGCTCTTAATCTCACAAATGAAACTACAACTGCAGCTGTAACTGAGCTCACAAGTTCTCTGGAATCAACAACTTCTTCTATATCTACAACAGCTGGTGATTCATCATCTAACACCTCTGACTCAACTTCAGAAACTACACATTCAACTTTATCTTCAATGACCTCATTGACGTCTTTAGAAACTACACCATTAACAACTACAATAGATGAGATTGATGTTACTACTGCAAATGGTTTATCAGGTGTAAGTACTGAATCTTCAATTGTTACTACTGAAACATCAGATGTTACTACTAAATCATCAGTTGTTACTACAAGCTTATTTGATACTACTACAAGCTCATCAGATGTTACTACTGAAGCTTTGGATGCTACTACTGAAGCTTTGGATGTAACTACAAGCTTATCAGATGTTACCTTTGGTTCATCAGAGACTACTACTGAATCATCAGATGTTACTACTAGTTCATTAGATCTTACTTCTAGTTCATCAGAACTTACTACATCTGCATTAGATCTTACTTCTAGTTCATCTGCATTAGATGTTACCACATCTGCATTAGATGTTACCACATCTGCATTAGATGTTACCACATCTGCATTAGATGTTACCACATCTGCATTAGATGTTACCACATCTGTGTCATCCTCAGTTATCTCATTTGAAACTTCATCTCTTCAACCTACAGAAGCAACTTCGACAGCACAATCATCAGTGGAGTCACAGACTGAACAATCCTCATCTACATCTTCAGCTATTGAACCTAGTTCTGTGTCCTCTGAGCCAGCACATTCCACAGAATCAACTTCAGCAAATTCAGAGTCTACTTATAGTGCCTTGGTGACCACTCCAGGATATAACTTTGAGCTTACAACCCACCCATTATCTTTGTTTACTGATTTAGATTTTTCATCAAAAGATAATCAAACACCTCATCCTTACCCTGCATCAACCACCACTTTCGAACCCTTTTATTTGATAATAAACCGAACCAAAGAATCTATTCCTGTGACTACCACTGAACAATCATATTATTCAACCACTTCACCTAAGACTGATTCCTCTGGATCAGAATTAGTTGAGATCTGCCTGGAGAATGTTTGCTATAAAGCATCCAAAACAGATTTAGGAAAATACTGTAGTAAAAAAAAAGTTGGCGTTTATCATTTTTTATTATACATATTTCATTTTTACCTTTATACTCAAGAAGAGTTTGAGTCAAACTCTAATTCCTATCACACCATGCTTTCCTTAGTTGATTGCTTTCCTTAGTTGATTGCTTTCCTTAGTTGATTGCTGCTTTCCTTAGTTGATTGCTTTCCTTAGTTGATTGCTTTCCTTAGTTGATTGCGTTCAAAATAACACCAAGTGAACCTCCCCCCAATTAATCCTTTATATAAACTTGTTTGCTAAATTTAATCTTAAATATTGATTTGAACTTTGCTATAAGGTTGTATATCTTTCAAAACTTAAGATTTTTATATATATTTTTTTTACTTTTTTAGTCGTTCACTTTTATAAAACAGGATCCTAAATATTAATTGTCCAAGGCCCAAAAACTAATACATATAGTTTCTGTGAACAAATTGATAAATTTTATTCATAAAACAGTTTTAAATTCTTAGATGATGTGATTTCGGCTGACAAGTAAGTATCAATTAATAAATTTAATAAGAGTCAACTTGATTGTTAAATCTAGATTATGTAAAAAGTCAAACATGGATTTGATCAAAGAAAATGATGACAAGATACTTACTGAACTAGTGAAAAAAGCAAGGTCAGTGTTAATTTCTCTGTTAATTTATTCACAATATAATTACTCTAATGAAAGTTTTAAAAATCTTTCATTCATTTTTTTTAAAAAAGCAAGACTAAGAAAGCTTAAAAATTACTTTTTCAGAAACCTAATTGATGAAAAGACGGCATGGTTTTGGACAAATATAAGGAAAACCTTCAGAACGTATTTGAAACGATAAAAAATGAAAAGGTTCTTCCATAATTGTTAATTAAATTTCAATCAAAATATTTTCTAAAACATGAAGGTTTTGAATAAAGGGACAAGATAAGCTGTCAAATCCTTCTTGGCGGATATAAAGGTAGAAACCAACAACTAGAAATAGACATTGTTTTTGGGAACAAACAACATTTTTGGAACAAACCACATTTCGGGAACAAACAACATTTCGGGAACAAACAACATTTTGGGAACAAACAACATTTTGGGAACAAACAACATTTTGGGAACAAACAAAATTTTGGGAACAAACAAAATTTTGGTAACAAACAACATTTTGGGAACAAACAACATTTTGGGAACAAACAAAATTTTGGGAACAAACAACATTTTGGGAACAAACAACATTTTGGGAACAAACAAAATTTTGGGAACAAACAACATTTTGGAAACAAACAACATTTTGGGAACAAGCCACATTTTTTGTGAATAATTGAGTCGTTCAGTAAAAAAACGAACGATGGACAAACAACTAGGATTGTTCTAAGAAATGACAAAATTTTCGTTTTTTCAAAACGAACGAAAAGAAACAAACAAAAATGAACAATATAAATCTTTAGAATAAACTTGAAAAAAAACAATGTTTTTTTATTGAACAAACTTATTTCTCAAACTGTTAACATACTTTTTAAAACTTGATTTGTTTTTACTGAACAAACGACTTTTTCCGACAAACTATTGAAAAAACTATTATTTTTACTGAACAAACAATTTTACTAAACGAAGAATTTTACTGAACAAACAATTTTACTAAACGAACAATTTTACTGAACAAACAATTTTACTAAACGAACAATTTTACTGAACAAACATTTTACTAAATGATTGTTCACTGAGAAAACCAACGAAAGAGATGGAAAATGTTCAATATCTTTTAAAAATTAAGAAATTTTTAAAACTATAAACGAGCAAAATGGGGTAATAAACATAAACTTTTGGTTGGGACATTGCCTTGCTGCAAAGACTTACTGAATAACCACAGTAAAGTATTTTTATTTAAATTTTTCATTACATTTTATTCCAATAGAATGTTTTTTTGATCTTGTACAACGGATAAGTAGACATGTCTGTTATATGTGGTCTCATACAGATGATCCATTAGAAGTTCCACCAATGGGAGCATTTAAGAAGTATTTTAAGTTTAAGTTTGAGCCAACCAACTGAGAGCTTAAGATTTAGAATTGAATTTCTTTCCTTAAATTAACACTTTAAATTGAGGTTTAAATTTAATCAAACAAGAAAAAACATTCTTTGCTTTTAGTAATTTTAATATTCTTTAGAAAACTCTGTGGCTACAATGTGGACCACTTGCAACAAGCGTGATTGGGTATAAAAACATTGAGAATTCATAGATTTTTTACTTATATTCATCCTTACAAAATATGCCAATAGTACATACTGGTCAAATCAATTTATCCAAAAATCAAATAAAATTTATTGCCTGAGGGTTGGATTGCTTTTAACAGTATAAAAAGGAGTTTTTCCATAATTATGAATTGGTATAAATCCTTACTAATATTTTTATTATTTGGGCCCATAGCCCTCTATTAGTTTCTATTAACACACAAGAAAATTGTTTAGTGGCTGATTTTTTTAACAACTGTTTTAATCAAAAAAAGTTTTGATACTACTTCATTTGTACAGGATAAGGAGAAATATCATGCTCTTTGTGAGCCCAAAGCTCCAGAAGGATATAGCAGTAAACCCATAGCTCCAAAAGGATATAGCAGTGAACCCATAGCTCCAAAAGGGTATAGCAAATAATAAGGATAACGAATATACTAATTAAAATATTGATGTAGAACATGATTTTTTAAATTTCCTTTATAGATTTTAAATATAATTATATAATACCATGCAATTTCCTTTATATTTACGAGTAGCCTGGTTTTTACACCTGAGGCCGAACTTAAACCACCTCGCTTAACTGCCAAAAACCGATTCCAATTCAATATTATTTTGTACACAAACTATATTTACATTTTAAACGATACAAACGGTCAGTGTTAGATCAACACGACATTTGCCAGCGGTTAATATGTTTCCATTCGACTCTTCTGATTCAATACTTCATGAGAACTGAACTGCTTTCTATCTCGGCTATAGCATCGATCCTTCCCTAGCTCCGCCCTTTAACGGAACCGACTTGATATCTACGATCTACGATATAAAGTCGGTACCGTTAAAGTCGATATAAGAAAGAGTTCAATATCCCTTCTGGTCTAGCCTGCTGTAAAAGCAGGCTGCAAACATACAAAGGGTTCAATATCCTCTTGTGTTTGGGTTAGATTTTAGGCTTTTTTCTTGTGTCAGATTGTTAAGCTTTATTTCTCTGCGTGGGAGCAATGAACTGTACACCGTACTAAACCCTTGGGTTGCGTTCACAGTTTTTAGAATATAGAGATGATGATCGCTAATCCTATACTTATTGTTCTTAAGTTCTTACAAAACCGACTTTTTCTTTTACTGCAAATATTTATCTTTCTTCCTTTTTCACCATGAGATTTCAGTAGTTTTTAATCAGCTTTTTTCGAATAACAAGTTTACACATAATAAAAGAGAACCTTTTTTAATTGACAGCTTCGCTTTGTTTCCATGTTTTTGTGTATCCATGCTGATTAAGTGCTTGATATAAATCAAAATTAAAATCGAAAGTTGTCTTCATTATATTGATATATTCGCCTACCCCCGTATCTTTCTTGTGCACCCTGAGTTTTCATCAATATTCACCTTTCTTCCTTGTACACCATAAGCTTTCATTAGTATTTAACTATATTCCTTGTGCACCCTAAGCTTTCACAAGTATTTGACTATCTTCCTTGTTCACTATGGGCTTTCATTAATATTTAACTATCTTCCTTGTGCACCCTGAGCTTTCATAAGTATTTAACTATCTTTCTTGTGCACTCTGAACTTTTATAAGTATTTAACTATCTTCCTTGTTCACTATGAACTTTTATTAGTATTTAACTATCTTCCTTGTTCACTCTGAAATTTTATTAGTATTTAACTATCTTCCTTGTTCACCCTAAGCTTTCATCAGTATTCACTCAAAAAAGTTTTTTAGAAGGAAAAATCTAAAGATGCATTTAATTGCAAATTATGTAATCATCATGTACAGATTTTTAAACCCCATCAGGAAAGGGTTAAAAACATTTATTTTGAAAAAACCCTGTACCTTGACTCTAAAGCTTTAATCAATAGCCGCCTTCCTTCCTTGCCTACCTTGAGCTTTCTTCAGTATCTCCTTCACTTCCTTCCTTCCTTCCTTCCCTACTTTGAGCTTTCTACAGTATCTCCTTCACTTCCTTCCTTCCCTACCTTGAGCTTTCTTCAGTATCTCCTTACTTCCTTCCTTCCCTACCTTGAGCTTTCTTTAGTATCTCCTTCACTTCCTTCCTTCCCTACCTTGAGCTTTCTTCAGTATCTCCTTCACTTCCTTCCTTCCCTACCTTGAGCTTTCTTCAGTATCTCCTTCACTTCCTTCCTTCCCTACCTTGAGCTTTCTTCAGTATCTCCTTCACTTCCTTCCTTCCCTACCTTGAGCTTTCTTCAGTATCTCCTTCACTTCCTTCTTTCCCTACCTTAAGCTTTACTCAGAATCTCCTTCACTTCCTTCCCTAACTTAAGCTTTTATCAGTATCTGTCCCACCTACCTTCTATACCTATCTATTTTCTTTTCATATCTATCCTTTTTTTAAATGATACACTATTTTTTATTGATGTTTATTCAAATCCAATTACACCTAATTAAGTCCAATTATATCCAATTAATTATATTTTATTGCTGGTTTATCCTCGTTGTTCGGCAGCAACCTTTGTAGTGTACACATGGTGAATACCTAAAATATATTTAATTTTATTATTTTTTTTTCACAAGTTCATCTTTAAGTAAGTCCTTAGACCTGGATCTAAGGATGATCCTGGCATTCATTACATTCAGATAATAATTTGCAGCATGGCTTAAATTTAAAACAACTCACCACCAAGGGTGTATTGAGCATATAGGTGATTGGTTGACCTAGCAATAATGATGTATGGTGCATATATGTGATTGCTTGACCTAACAATAATGGTGTATGGTACATATATCATATGTGATTGCTTGACATAACAATAATGGTGTACGGTGCATATATGTGATTGCTTGACTTACCAATGATGGTGTACGGAGCTATGAACATGATCATGATCAGAGGTATACCGTACACAGCAAACCTCTGGAACATGTCCAAGATCTTTCCTTTCTTCCGGGCATGAGTGTACAGAGTTTTCCTTGCAGCAAGCTCAATCTTAAACAAGTCATTATATATTCAATTTTTGGTGATTCAATAAAAGAATTGATATGAATTCAGTCTTTTTTTTGAAGATTTTGTGTTTCGTATCCAAAGGATCCTTAAATATCCCTGAATACAGATGTTTGCTGATTGGTCGTGTACATACTTGTACACAGTAGAACATGCTGTGGAAAATATCGCAAATCATTGGTTTCAATCGATCTCTGTAACTCTCTTATCTCTTCTTAGGCCGGTAAGGGGTTGTTCCGGTTTGAACTCAAATTGAACCTAGTCCAACCTGACTTTTAATTGAAACCCTAACTATTAAGCCTATCTTATACAAACACAACTGTACATAACATAAAGCTCAATGATATAGTTTGAGTGTAATCTGAGAGACTAAAGCTTCTCATTTAAATTTTTTCAATGGTAAACTAATTGATTTTACCTTTTCATTGCGGTCATTCAGTTCCTGGGGACGAATTCTTTTGTCCTTTCTCAAAATATCCTCAATAGTTGGTGGGTTTCTTCTTCGCACTAAAAATAAATAAAAAAAATGTTATTATCCTCTACTTTGTATTAAATAAATGACAAATACGCAAATTGAGCAACATATGTATGGGGTGCATACAGTGGGGGGGGGCTATTAGGGCTAAGCCCCCCCCCCTCCCTCCTCCTAGAGAATGGAATTTTTTATTTATTTAAGGAATTAAATCCGTATGGTCATAAGAAATTGAATACATAAAAATTACCTTTTAATATCAGACGACTTCAAAATCAATGAAACTAAATCCTTAAACTGTCTTTTAAAAAATTATATTTTCATCCAAAATGGGCTAAACTCACCAAACATGAAATCGGTATTTTTCGGAGCATCATCAACTTGAGGTATCTCATTAGGTATGGTAATCTGGCTTCCATGATGATTTATTGTTCTCTCCTTTAAAATAAATATATGTTTGCACCACAGTTAGAATACAAGTTTACTATTTTATGTTTTTCTTAATAAATTGTAAGTTGAATACATGTTTCTGGTATATTTCATAAAGAATATTTTTTTGCCACAAATTAAAAAAAGATATTTGCACATTGCTAAAAATTATTGAGGGTTTGAATTAAATATAAATTTAAAATTTTTTATTTTTTTATTTGAAATCTTCTTTCCGTCTCTGTAACATCATCTTGGTTAGAAATAGGTGCAGAACCAGAGGCAGGAGATCTAAACATTTTTAACTCTTCAATTTCAAATTTGCCTAATTTTTCCAGGGTGAGTAAAAAAAAAGTCAGATTTGCCGCGCCTGTTGCAAAATTGTACCTTTTTTGTGCAACTCTCCTGTATGGCGTTTTTACATTTTTTTTTATTTTTAAATTTTATTTTTGGTATTTCAATGACCCCAAAAAAAATCTGCGTACTTAGGGTTTTCATTCGTAAAACTTTTGCGCAATTTTTGTGGAACTTTTTAAACTTTTTGTAACTGGAAGTAACCAATTGAGTGTAGTATAATCGTTATCATACTCATATGTTAATATTTTTTATGTATGGAATAAATCTTCAGTTGTTTAATTCTAAGCTTAGAATATCAATTTTTCACAATTTGCTTAAAAAGTTACATTTTGCGTAAAAGTTGCGGTTTTACGCAAATTGCGCAAAAAAAATTGTGCAAAACTAAAATTTCGTTTCATGCGCAACTTTCGCAAAAAATATTTCCGGTTTTGCGAAAAAAAATAGCGCAAAACTCATTGCGTTTCATGCGCAAAAAAAGCGCAAAAGTTCACCAAAAAAAAATTTGCGCGAAAATAGCACAAATTTTGCGCGAATGATTTAGCCATTTCGTGGAAACCCTACGCGAACCTTTCTCTCAAAAATTGAAAAGTTTGGAAAAACAAAAATGTGTGAATAAATTGTTTCTATCGAAATCCAAAATTTAAAAAAGATTGAATCACAGAATATCAGAAATTTTGCAAAATTGTAATAAGAAAATTCGCAATTTTCAGTTCTGGTATAATTTTTACGGAAAAATAGTTTCTCAATGGTTCTTAAGTTTTCAAATTAACAGCGTATATTTAATACTTTAGAATATACTAAGAAGAAAGGAACTAGAGAATTTAAATTACTTTTCCTTAAAAATTAGACCAGAAATAAAAATTGCGAATTTTTTATTATTACAATTTTGCGAATGTTCTATGATTCTGTGATTCAATCTTTATAAAATTTTAGATTTCGATAGAAATAATTTATGTATACATTTTTGCTTTTCTGAACTGTTGATTTTGTGAGAGAAAAAGGTTCGCGGATTTTTTTGTGGGTCATTGGAGTACCATAAAAAATTACAAATTTTCAAAAAATATTGTAAATACACCATACAGGAGAGTTGCATAAAAAAGGTACAAATTTGCACCAGGCGCCGCAAATCACACTTTTTTTGACTTGCCCTGTATTTCCTTTCAGAAATGCAATAGCTTGGATTAAATGAATGAAGTCATTATCGGATATACTTTAACTTTTAATTTGGCTTAATCTCTATCTATAAAACAATAACAAAAAAAGTTTCCATATTTAGAAAAAGAAATTTCATGGATTTTTAAAATTTTACAAAACTAAAAACTTGTTTGAGACAAATTTTCGTAATTCTGTGTAGCCCAAATCATTCCCTGGGGTTATGTGAGGTCCTACACAAAATTTGGGCCAGATCAGTAGAGATGCCAAAAGTCTTACATCCTAAGGTAGTCCATGATGGTATTAAGTAGAACGATGACAAAAGGTATGAAGAGACAGAATATCAGATATATATCAACCATCTTCATGTAGGAAGTAGGCGGCAGACTGTTACTAACCTGAAAAGCAGTTACATTTTCTTTATGTTTATTTTTTTTAGAAGTAACCATACTGCACTATCAATTGATTGAATTTAAGCCATGGCTTAATTATGGTTGGCTTCACTTAAAATTGTATCAAATGTTTCAAGATTTAAGCCGGCGTTCAATTTAAACCGGCTTTTGGTAACCTGAAAAGCAGTTACATTTTCTTTATGTTTATTTTTTTTAGAAGTAACCATACTGCACTATCAATTGATTGAATTAACACATGACTTTACATTTTTCAACAAATGCTAATAACATATTTTGATCGCAAATGTAATCATAGTAATCCTTAAAGTTTTGGATAACTTACACTAACAAATAGAGTAACCAAGACCAGTAGAGTTGTTAGATTCACTGTAACTGTGGCTTCAAAGAAAAAGGGTTTAAAGAACACAGTAGCATAGCTGATGGTTATCAGTAGTATTGAAGGAAGGTAAGTATTCAATGCAATAGGCAGGAGATTTCGTCCCAGAATCACATTAACCTATTTTTTACACAATTTTAAAGATAGAAGCTAAGTTTTTGTTTGTAAAATACCAAATAGGAATCAGAATATATATTTTAATATATTTAATTGTAAATTCATAAATTTGCAAGAACAGAGGCCGGATTTAAAGAATTTTAGCCGCGGTTTAAATTTAAGCCATGGCTTAATTATGGTTGGCTTCACTTAAAATTTTATCAAATGTTTCAAGATATAAGCCGGCGTTCAATTTAAACCGGCTTTTGGTGGATTTAAGCCGCGATTTAATTCTTTAAATTCGGCCTCAGTTTAACTTTACATTGGGGCTCAGTACTTTTCTTTCTTATACTTTTCTAAATGAATTATAAATTTGCTAAATTTCCTTGAGAGTTGTTTTCCCATTATCCTCAGATACCCTCATAAAGAAGTTCTCAACAACAAACTCTTTAGATGATCTTTCACCAAAGAAGTTTAGAAGTTTTGATTCTGGAACAATTAGGATATTTGTCTTGTGAAAAAAATCATAATATTTCATGATTACCTAGGGTAGAAAAATCTCCTGATTCACCAAACATAGTGAATTGGAGTTGACAGTTTTGAATGTCAAATGGGTACCATCGTAGATCATACTGACACAAGAATCTAAATACAGGGAACATTAGTTCTGACACAGTTTGAGGTCTAGGATTAATGTCTTGTGGAGCATAAAAGCAAGCATAAATAATTAAAACTTCACTTATTTGAAGCAGAGCTCATTTAATAATAATAATAATAATGATAATAAATGTATTTCAAACTAGATTAATTGTTGCATAACATTTTATGGTCAATGTATATATATAAGTTGTCGAAAAATTCAAATCTGTTACAGTATTTATGTACATTTATATGTACAGTCTTTCTCTAGTTTGAGGACTAACAGAGTCTAGAGACTGTTTGAGTTAGCCCATTAATAAAATTGATCCTTTCGTGAAGCCATGAGAGCAAGATAGTTGTGAAGAATGGTAAGCGATTCCTTGAGTGGAGGGGAACTGTGGCAGTAAAAATATTTATTAAATTACAGTATGAGTCTGGAGCAGCAGTCACAGAACAACAATTACCCATTTTGGCAATCAGGACATAATATTGTTACAAGAAATATTTTTATATGAATTCAAATATTCGTCACTTAGTTGATTTTTCAAAGAATTTCTATGTTTTAAAGCTTTCAGATCTTGGGCTAATGAATACCATTTACTAGGTAAAATGTAGGATGGAAGATTGCGCAGGGACGATTTTTTGCAAATCTTTAAAGCAATGTTATTTGTTCTCAGAGAATTGGACTTTTAAAACATGCAGGAGGGAAGTTTATTGTGAACAAAAGAATGCATAAACAACTTTCAGTTCAAGTCAAACAAATCGTTAAACTTCAGGATATTTAATTTCTTAAATATTGGATTACTGTGGGAATTGTATTTGCTTTATTTAATATTTCATATACATTTTTTCTGGCAATTAATTAACCCTTTAAGTTTTGATGGTTGAACACCTCCCCAGGCTAATACACCAAACTCAATATGTGGTCTAAACAACCCATTACAAAGGTTTACCAAGGTTTTAGTTGGAAAAATGTTCTTTAATCTTGATATTTGCAATGATTTTGTACAAAAATGGTTAGTAAGGTTTCCAAAGCGCAATTGTGCAATAATATCTTATTGGTACAAATTAAAAAATTCATATTGTTGCATGGCACAACTAGAATTTGTAAGGATGGGACAAGAAAAACTATTTTCCAGCTACTTTGTTGTTATGGAATATCAAAAAAATGCAAGTTTTGTGCATCATTGCACTAAAACTTATATCATGTGTTGCTATGGCTGTGCAATTTCTTAAAGGCTAGTTTTGGATATTTAACTTAAAAATATATTTGTTATTATTATCAAATGCAATTTTTAACAAAATATGATACAACTTTCCTGAAATTGAATAAAATGCTTTTGTAAATGAAAACCCTAGATTTTGGGGCATTTTCAGGAAATTTCTATGGATACCTCGTATTGTAGAATCGAGATAACTTGATCAGATTTTCAGCCCCTCTGTAATATTCTCTATTGTTAAATTCATCAAGTCCGGAGAGATAAGATTCACCCTCTTTTCCAATTGTAATAGTAGCTTCATTATCAACCAGTGTAGTCACCTTGTTCTCAGTGTTCTCAAATACAAGAACTGGAATCCAAAGAAGTTCCTTTTCTTGGGGTGATAAGTTATTCAGTCCAGGATTATTGCATAGATCAAAAAATGTCAATCTACTATCAAGCCAAGAAAAATGCAGATAGAACTGAACCTAAATACTCAAAGCCTCATGAAATCTTCTTCACAACCCAATGATTTAAAGATTTAAATTTTACCTGGAATATTGAAGCTTTTTCATCAATTTCCAAAATGTCAACAATGTCCTCAGACACTTCAATTATAATTTTCGAAGAGTTTTGATTTGATGGTGGTAGAGGAGCAATATACTTCTGGTATGATTCATCAGGATTAATCCGGAGGCATCCAACCTCATCGCTTTTGTCCCTACAATCTGTCCTTGCATTACACCGCTTTTCAATATCTATGCATAACCCGTTCCTACAAGTAAACTCTGTTTCTTTGCAAGTAGACAAGGTCAGTAATGTGGACTTAAGTTCTTTGCAGTTTTCGTCATTTCTAAAATATAACATTCAGATAATTTGAGGATTCAAACAAAATGTCAGTTTTAATACCTTATTGTCCAGTTATGGGTTCCCATGACGAAAGTTTCCAGTCCTGCGGTAGAAGTACCAATGAGAGAAGGATTGTTAATATTTCTCATTTTCCACAACCCTTCCTATATAAATAACAAGCTCCGGTCTATACATATCAACATTTTTAAGAACTTTTGCTTTAAAAAATTGAACATTAAATGTCAGGATTGTTGATAGGTAACAATAAGGACCTAAAAATCAACAAAAGTTAAGCATACTAGTCCTGAGCTAGAAACTGGATTGGTATCAAGCTTGGTGTATAAAGACGAAGGGATAGCTGTCAACAATTTAAAGTTACCACCAATTACCTTGTCAATTTTTTCAAAACCTTATTTGTTCCAGGCATTAGAAATGTTTTGAGAACAAAAGTCTTAAACTCATTTTTAAGTGAATGAGTAGTCTAAATTGTGTAATTATGTTAAGATATGTAAATTAATAATCAAGTGCTGGTTGATCTGGTAGCAAATATAATTTTTCAGAGTATATAGCTTACCTCATGATCATATTGTATGATAGTGGCTTTTTTCCCAATATAAGAAATATATCCAGAGTCAGCATCATTAATAACCTAGGTCAATATTAACTATTACAGGGGAAATTTGTTCCAAAACTAACTCTTGGCTCATTTCTAACACTGAGTGTTAGAAATGAGCCAATTGTTATTTTTGGAACTAATGTCCCCTGCAATGTGGTCCACCCATTTGGTCAGCTATAACAGTTAAATATTTATGAGAAAAGGCTTTTTTATTTCGGAGAATATATAAAGGATATATATATATATACCTGGTAAAATGTGTCTATCTTTGTCTTAAGACAAAGTCCCCTCAAAGTGATCACTACAGAGGATTCAAATGTATATGGAATCTTACAGGCAGTACAAGCCGCCCATGAGAGATCAGGGTTCTCACACACAAAATCATACCTAAGGCAGAATTTAAAGAATTTGAACCGCATCTCTAGACCACAATTTTAACTGGTTCAAATTGAGCGCAGGCTCAAATCTGATTATGATTTCCAGTGGAACCAGCCATGTTTGAACTGCATTTTATATTTAAACTGAGTATAGGCGCAGTTTAAATTCTTTAAATTCTGCTTCTTATAATGATATAATAGACTTTTGTAGCATCTTAAAATATTAGTTAAATAAAATATAAACCAATTGCATACCAGCTTTCATCATGCTCTAAACCTGAAATATTAAATATAATTATTAAATATTAATAAGAACAAAATTGTTTGAAGAAACTCGAAAATGAAACGCTCCAGAGATCACTTTTCATGAGTGAAACACAGAATGAAACGTGTGTCCAATTTGGTACCCAAGGTACCATTTTGGATTTGAAATTTGAAACAAAGTACCCAAATGGCCGTGGACATTGGTACCATTCCAGTTAGACCTGATTTGGTCACACTTTGAACATGTAAAGAGTAGCCCGTGGTTAAGTAAATATTATAAAATCCCGAAAAAGTAGTTGTATACAATTTTATAGTCTTTTTAGATTAAAATGCGCGAATTTTGTCCCGAAAACTTTGCAGAGCGGGTGGTTATTTTACCTATCTGTCTCAAGAGACGTTAAATGACTTAACCTCCCTCTGTTGTGAAAAAAATCAGTAAAAAAAATGTTTCAATTATATTTTTAAAGAATTCTTATTTTTTTCTAGATATAAAATAGCAATGTCAGGTTTCTACATTTCAAATTCTGAATTGAAAAAAAATGAAATCCATAATAGTTTTCTCCGATTTCTTTTATTAAATATATTTCTTGATTGTAAATCTAACATTGAGTTATAAATTGTTATAAACTTTGTTTTCTGAATAAAGATAAAAAAGTAAACGGGGAAAATTTTTTTATAGCTATGAAAAATTTTATTAAACCACACTAAAATCCATAACTTAATTTATCTCTTTAAATGGGAAGTTCTAATTACCCGAAGTTCCAACTAGAAAATTGTTACTAAGGCTTATGTTCAAAGGAATTGAGTCTTTTCCACACACTAACATTTTCTAATTCCTACACCTTTGCAGCTTAATGGTGCAAACCTTTTAGATATTGAACTTAACATCTAACAGAATTCTTTTTTTGAATATCTAAGTTGTACATCATTAAGTTGTAAAGAAGAAGTGATTTGAAAATCAGTGTTTACGACAAAGTCTCAATTCGTTTTTCATTTAAAGAAAAAGGCATAGCTTACTGAAATAGGATTTCACACATTGTGGACTCTTTCCATTTGGTTGTGATGGTCTCCAGGGACTGATTGGCAATGGTTCCTTAGTGTGAACATGTAAAAAGTCTTCATGACTTTGAACCTGTTAATCATATCAGATAATGTATTCAAGTGGAATAAAATTGTCATTAACTGTAATTAAAGGCTCTGAGCTGAAAACTCTTGTATTGGTTGAAACCAAGATCAATTCTTGATCTCCTCTTTTTCTTAATTTACAGATTAATCCAATATTTGATATCCCGGTAAAATTCAACCAATTTAGAATGTTGTTTACAGAAACAGAACAGCCAATCAGAAGCTAGAACATTTTGCGCACAAACAATCAGAGAACACTCATTGTTTTCAACCTGGCAGGGACAGGCCCACAGTGGATAGCAAAATTAAGGCAACCCGGATTATGGTTGTTAAACACAGTTTCCAGCTCTGAATAAATCACCAGACAATTGGGATATTAAAATTCGAATAATATTCCTTGTTCTCATCTGCAGAATAAGGCATCCAATGTAGTAATCTCCCCCCCCGTCCAGCACTCTCTGAGAACAGCAGGGTTGCTGGTTGCTTCCAGTTGATATTCGTTCAGCTCGTCTAACGACTAAATAAATAACATGCCTCATTTTCTTTGGGAACTCAGAGAACTTATCTGGCTTAGATAGATTGTCAAGTACAATCTATTTGATCTGAGCTGAAAACTTTAGAATGATGGATAACAAGATTAATGCTTGGTTTTACTAAACCCGAGATTATTTTAATACGCGTTTGATATCCAGGAAAGAAGTATAAAATTGAACCAATCAGCATATCATGTTGAGACTCTTTATCTTTTGAAAACCCATTTTTTTTCTGGTGTTAATTGTGTCATATCAATTGAACTAAACATCGATTAAATAAATGTAAGTTTTGGATTAATGTTTGTTAAAAGGCTAACGTTTAAAATGATGATAGTCCTAAAATGTGATAAAGTATATTATTAAATAAGTTCATATTTACATGATTAAATTTATATTTGCTTAAATGCTCTAAACCCCGGCTTGTGAACAGCTGGATTTAATTCAATCAGATATTAGTTCAATCGATGTAGCATTTTATCTGTAATTGTTATCAAACATAACTTTAATGCAGTAGGGATATCCAAAAAAGAGGATAAAGTGTGTTGGATACTCAGATTAAGCGATCAGGATTAAGAATATCTCATTCTAAAGTGTTCAGCTCTGGCTGATTTTTAAAGTTTATTACTAAGGCTGCACCTGGAAGTTGTCTGCCATGCTGTGCATCATGTACTTGTTACAAGCCTCATATGCATCAATAAAGTTTGGGTACAGAGCTGTAACTAACACAGTTTTTCGTTTGTTTCTTTCAGAACATTCAACCTCAGATGTATTAATCATTATCTCTTTAATCAAGCTTCCTAAATAGAGTTCTAATAATTTAAATAATTATCTCTGAGTTTTGTAAGATTTTTTTTTTTGTCAACTCACAAACATTTCTTTTTACTATGATTTAGTTATAACCACAGGATGTTCATAAGGGATGATCAATTTTTAACATTTTTAGAAATATGCCTTGGGTGTGTATAAAAACCTACAAGAATATTGCAATCAGAATTTTTGTCTTCAAAGATTTACATGTTACAATTCATTTTTGTGCTTTTTTCTAATCTTACATATGAATTTGTTTTTGATAACAAACCTGTAATATTCCAAACAGTTTCGTCGTTCACAAAATTCCCAGTAACTTTCTGTGGAAAACAGGCAGAAAAATTTGCAATTTCTTCTTCGCTGAAATAAGATTTTAAATTTTCTCAAATAGTCTGCACCAAAAAGTCAGATTTAAGTTGACTTCATTGCAATAATATTAATGAATATTAAAATACATTTTTTAGTTTGCTTAAAATCAAAGAAATGTATCTAGTATGAATAAATAAGCTTAAAGGAATTATCTGTTTTAATTCTAGATTTTATTTTGCAAAAGGTACTGATAATACTACTAGTACAATACCGCATTTAAGTACAGAGACAAAACATGGAACTTCTTGTCGTCTTCGATTTATATTCTTAAATTCTTGTTTTTTTTGATAAAATTTTTTGTATATTTCTTAATAATAAGGAGGGGATATAAATTTTAAATTTAAATATTTCATTTGTTTCAGTAACAGATTTTTAACTAAAAACTTTATATTACGAAAACATATTTTTTGTTTGCAAATAAACATTTTATTTTAATTGAATTCATGGTATTGATTTACAGTACAGACTGGTAAGCACTGCATATTTTTCTACCTGATCTGTGACATGATAAGCAACTATAACTGTACCTTAATGTCCTGTTCCATATTTGAACATCTGCTAGCTTTCCAAGCAGAGGTTTATTATCAAAATAGTAGTTTCCTTAAAAGTTAAATTACAGAGTTTAATAGTTTCACTTTGCCAAACCAACAATAAGGAATGAGATTAAGTTTTTGATGATAATAAATTGATTCTCTAAATATTAAGCAATTAGCCTCATGTTGCATTTAAGAACATGTCCTGAGTTTAAGACAATTACTTAAAATTTAAACTATGTGAATTTTGAGTCCTTACCTAACAAAACAAAACAATTTGATAAGGATTAACAATACAAAAAAGATGCAGAATTATTTTAAACAGAAAAATATTTAAAGGCATTGATTAATTAAAATATTTACATTATTCCAACTTTCGTATATTGTAAAAATTCAGTTTGTTTTGAATTGCGGATAATTCTCAAAATGGGAATTGTTATGAAAATTTGTAATATATTAACAAAAAAGGAAAACCTTGCATAGTCTTGAAAACAGTTAGGGTTTTCAAATTCATATTGATCTTCAATTACAATTCAAAAACAATATTTGATAGGGACCATTGCTGTTTTTATCATGACAAAGTGAAACATTGCTCATAGTTTTTATGATCAAAATTTTCTATCCATGTGCATGGAAGGAATCGGCTGAAAACCCAAAAATATGCCTTTAACCCAGTTTGTAACTCTGCAATATTAGTCGTTTCTCGCAACAACAGCTATGTATAAATGTTTACCAAGACGAACAACCATCGGAAACTGAGTGTTGTTAGAAAGTCTATCTAGGAACGATCTGAAATTTAATGATATGCTTGAAGGGTCTGTTAATGTTAAAATGGCATGTCCGGCTTATAATGGTATCCTTAAAAGCTTTGTCTGATTAAGAATAATTTGTATATTCATAATTTTGAAAACTGATTATTTTAAAATGTGCTTTCTGAATAAGTGACTTCTGCAATGCGCATTTCTTCTCCACATTTTGAAATTATTTTTATAACATACTACAAAGTATACTAGCTGAAGTGCCCGGCGTTGCCCTTGTAATTTTAGAAGCACTTGAAATATTAAAACTCCTGTGGTACATATGGGTTCGCTCAAAAAATGTCAGCCAATTTGGATCAGCCATTTGGCCAGCTTTAGCTCATAAATAAATATATACACATACACGAAAAGCTTTTTTATTGAATAGTATTTTATTGAATATGCACACCTCACGTGCACTCAACGGTGGTTTCAAAGGTATCAAGGGTACCATTGTAAATCTAACAATTAACTTTAAATTTCAAAGACTTATAGCCCTTTTAATCTTTAAATAAATAAGAAATTAATGTAGAATTGTGGCGGAAGACAATCTGACTCTGAGCCAGATACAGAGACGCGGCAAGATGAGCTTCAGTTCTGCCATGTCACCATGATATATATAATTTCGATTTCTTAAATTTACAAAGTAAATAAGTTTAGTCAATAAAGTATTTATTTAACCTTGAACTTGTTATTATT